AAGGCGAGACTGGTAGTGAGGGGAGACCTGCAGCAGGATTACGGCGATACGTACGCGGCGACGCTGGCTGCGAAGATATTCCAATGTTTAATCGCCCTAGCAGCTGCTTTTGACCTTAAGCTGTACTAGTACGACGTCCTAAACGCCTTTCTTAACGCAGAACTTGACTGACCTACCTACGTACGATGTCTAGAAGGATATAAGAGTGAGCTTGGCCAACTGCTTGAGCTTAAACGAGCTCTATACGGACTTCGAGATGCTCTGCTACTATGGTACAAGCACCTCACTGCTACGCTTGAGAAGCTAGGCCTTCAGCAGGTGCCAGGAGTGCCCTGTCTGTTCAGCAATGATTACTTAATTGTCTTCTTCTTTGTAGACAATATAGTTATAGCTGTAGCTTCTGAGAACAAGGACACCTACCGCCAATTCGATCAACAGCTGCGAGCTGCATACAACATGCGATTTCTGGGAGAGCTGAAATGGTTCCTCAGCATACGCGTGATCTGAGATCGCAGCCAGAAGAAGATCTGGCTAATGCAAGACAGCTTTATCAAAAAGGTAGCAGCTAAATACAACATTGCTCAAGAGAGCACAAAATATCCAGCAGTACCGCTAGTAGATAGAAATATTGGCCTAAGCAAGGAGGAGCCGGACGAACAGCGCACAAAGCTATATTAGGAGTTAGTTAGATTACTAGCCTACATTGCGACATACACTTAGCCTAATGTTGCGCAAGCCCACTCTAAATTATCTTAATATCTACAGAATCTAGGTTAAAAGCATGTCAGCGCAGTGTACCACGTCTGGAAGTACTTGATCAGCCAGAAGCATTTGGCAATCAGTGCACATGGAGATCAGAGCAGTCGCACGATATACACAGGCTCAAGCCTGGGGGGTGCTGGAACAGAGCCACTATTCTACGGTGCCTCTGATGCAGCCTTTGCGGACGACCTGCTGACGCGGCGCAGCTCTCAGGGATATCTTTTCATGATGTACGGTATGCCTATTGACTAGAAGGCGACACTCCAACGTTCCGTCACGAAATCGACCACTGAGGCAGAGCTGCTAGCTCTGTCGACAGCAGCTAGCGAGCTGCAGGCATGGAATCGACTGTTCAAGCACATCAAGCTTAACCTAGAGATAGTGCCAACAATCTTCTGCAACAACCTGCAGACAGTAGGAGTTGTTACTAAGCATAGGGACAAGCTATTTACGCGTTTGCGTTATGTGGACGTCCACCAACATTAGCTTAGGCAGGAGGTAGCAGCTAGACGTATATTAGTTTAGTAGAAGCTAACTAACCTTATGCTAGCTAATAGACTTACTAAGATCCTTGTACGCTAGAAGCATGCTAAATTTGTCTAATAGCTTAGATTAAAAGACGTTAAGAACCACCTACTAGAGCCTAAAGGACATAATAACCCTAATTTAGCAAGCTTAACTTACTAGTATTAGGACAGTATTAGGCATAGTTATAGGGCAACAATTATAGATATAATATAGAACAGGAATAAGGGAGATTAGCTTTAGTTAGCACCTTAGCTAAGGGGGTGTGTAACTACGTAGGTGAAGTTACATAATATCTTGTTATAGAAGGTACTGCCTAGTAGGCAAGTGCACTTACCTTAGAGCTGAGAGCTCCGTACATAAACATCACAACACGACAACAGATAGCAATACAATTGTTGATCCCAGCCTCCACCCGACACTGCACCAGGCAGTTACAATCACCTCAAGAAACCTACTTCACACGAGGCTAGGATCAATGTCATTGGCACTCAAATTCTTCGCTTCAGCCATCAGTCATGTAATCGCTACCTTACACTTGCATGTGCGGGTCCACTCACTCCGCCTTCCCCAACACCTCCTCATAAACACTGCACAGTCTCCCCTCGCTCCATACACCTCTGATGTTCAACGTATCATCAACCCTCTTACACGGATTCCCTTTCACGAGCAACAAATCCGCCCTCCTCCCCTCCTCGATTCTTCCCCTGTCCTCCCACCCAAACCTCCTTGCGGTCAAACTCGTCGCACTCCTCAACGCCTCCTCCGGACTCATCCCAATCTCGTTAACAAACAAGCTCAGCTCATGGTGCATTGACAACCCAAACGCCGTCCCCTTCGCCGGCCCTGCTGCATCAGAGCCACACAAGATATCGATCCCCGCGTCCCTCAACGCCTTGACAGACGCGTACGCATACTCCGCTTTCCCATGCTGCGTCGCAAAACTCATACATGCGCACATGTTCCCACGTTTATCCTCGTTGAGGAGGTGCTGCACGCGCGGGTCATGCGCGAACTTGTGCTGCAGCGCTGCGCCTTCGGCAGTCAAAGACCCAATTGCAGCGAGTGTGGGGTTGCACCACGCGTTGTTCTTCTTGTACGCTGCGACCAGCTCGTCTGTCGGCGGCTGGTCGCAGAATGTGTGTGTCAGGCCGTTCACGCCGGCGTGCAGGACGTCCAGTGTGTCTTGGAGACATAGTGCGTGCGCGACGGTAAGGTATCCTCGGGCACGCGATTCTTCGACAACAGTGCGTTGCAGACTGACGGTGGGCTGGTCGAGTTTCAACCCCATTGCTGCGCCGGACTCGTGCATTAGTTTGATGTAGTCGGGTGCCATTTCGCGGGATGTCCAGGTTAGGTATTCGATGACAGATGTGCGGTCTGTAAGTTTTGGCCATGTTGCTATCGAGGCAAGTGTCTCGGGGCTCTTGTCGTGGGCTGTGATGACGGGGATTGGCCATCCGTTTTCGATGGTAGCTGCTTGTCCGGCAGTCTTGTAGGAGGCAGTATCTGACTCTTGGGTTTGCTGCTTGAGCTTGAGCACGTTGGGAAGCTCGTTATGCATGTCGCAGACAGTCGTTACACCAAATCTCAGGGCTTGGGGAAGAGCCTCTGGGTCAGCCTTGTCTGCGTGTATGTGACAGTCGATCAGGCCAGGAAGGACGGTGTGGCCGGGCTTAGAGTACGTCTTGATCGAAATCTCATGTGGCGGAAAGCTTGAGATTAGCCCGACTGATTTGATCTTTCCGCCTTCTACCAGAACGTAGCCCTCTTCGATAGTTGATTCTCCAGTAAAGATACGAACATCGCGAAGTACGAAGGAAGACATGGCTTGCTATGCGGTAGTTGAAGCCGATTCACAACTGGATGACCAAATAAAAGCGAGACGTATGGTCCACGGACAACTTATTTGTTGTCGGGCACTCGGTATTCAACGGAGCTGACATGCGTCTGTTCGTAGATGTGGCGGGGTAGAGAGTCCGCCTGCAAGCTAAGAGGTGGAGGTGTTATACCCACACTCAAACGCGGTAAGTAAGTGCTGATCTCCGAAACGATGAACAACTGGCGTGCTACTCTATTCGGACGCCTAGCCGGAAGGCCTGGAGCTGCGTGCCTCGCTCAGTCTCGCCACAGAAAAGGGTGGTTTCGACAGTCCAATACTCTGTGAGGCTTCAACGATACCGATCTATTTTCGCGCACAAAGATCGTATTCAATGCTTTCTATGTTGAACCCATACGGGCCTCACGCTTCTCGAGGGTAGTCGAATCGACATGGGTTGTTGAGGAGAGCCGGAACCCGGCCGTGCGAACCTGCGAAGCGGAGTTTTTGCTGCTCTTCGTACCGTCAGCTAGGTTGGCTCCCAGATCTGGCCCTGGAAGGTTGGCGACCGCTGTTAATTCTGCGAAGCAAAACTCGACGTTGCAGGAGGAAGATGCGCTTTTGTTAGCCCCAATGACGTCATCACCGGATGCCATAACATACTATCCAGGACGCACAATGCGAGCGTCCCGGGTTATAGTATAACATTGTTATATTCCAGGACTCGTTAGTTAGTCAAAAGCCGTACTACTCTTGTACTCCTGACTCAAAACTGGGAGGCGGCCAAGGGCAGCCAGCGCTGTTCGAAAGAGCACCAACGGCGGAACATTGCAGCGAATTCATGTGAACCGACTCCTGCATCGTCCCAGGAGCCACGGCAGTCTTCAGCAACCTTGCCAGGATATGATCATCCTCCAAGACATATGTGCAGCGGTGAACAGCTCTTGGGACTTCATACTTGAGATACTTTTGCCGATGAACTGGGAAACTCAATTGTGCCATAAGATAGCGTGAGACTGGAAGAACACGTAGTGCAGCTTCGTATCTGGAATCTTGGATTGACACTATGCCAGGTGTTATATTATGCGCGTCTTCTTCGACCTCCACACGTCTTGTGTTACTTTTGAGATATCTGTGTACTTGAGCACTGTCTCAAGGTCAAAAGTGAAAGGTCAAGCGTTGTTAAATGTGCTCTCAATGGCACCATTCCTTCTAAACAGGCCACCGATAATACAGGAGCATACATTAACTCAACACAATGTGTGCGGTTCACCTGTCTAGGTAATTAAGAAGAACTTCAAGCTTGCATTGAAGGGATGTTTCCCAAGGTAGATGACAGTCACTTGATGTTGAGGGTAATAATCAAGGGCTCAACCAGACACCACAACCACACACCACAACATCAACTTCGAAGCCATCATGCGTCCACCTGTTTCTCCCACGATCTCGAACGAGATTTCCATCTTGGCGAACAGCAGAACTCCAGGCTCTATCTCTGCAGTCAGCGGCGGACAGAGGACCGTCTCAGCGCTGCTGATATCGCCCACAGATTCGGGTTACAGCACCGGATCTTCAAGTTCTTCGTCTGCACCATCAGCATCTGCTCGAACCCGCACTCTTCCCGCCACACTGGAGTCATCTGAGTTCATGCAGTGGGTCGGTTTCACCGCCTCCACTGGAGACCGCATCATCAACGACTGGTCCACCGATATTTATGAACGGACTCTCAAATGGCACATCGTGAACGATGTCTGCAACACGGCCTTCAACAAGAGTGGCGATTGGAGAGACGCCATGACTTCGCTCTGTGTCTCGAAGGAGATGCAGGATGGCATCATGTGCTCCGGCCACGACTTTGTTCGATCTTTCACTCATTGCGCTATTGGCTTGAAGAGTTCATCTTGGCAAACTACCTTGGTCTCCAGATGCTCGGCAAGACCATGTCGATGCCTGAGTGTGCTCACGATTTCGGCCATACAGGCAAGGTTATATTCTATTACTTCACTCCTCAAGAGTGGGTGGTCGAACTGTACACCAGCTTCTTTCCAGAGTATGTCAAGTGGCCAGATATCTGTTCTCAAAGTCATGGGGCGTGAGTCGGACATCGCTCCTGCTGGCGACGAAACATAAAAGATGGGATTCGGTGACGACTGGCGCCAACTCGTTTGGCATTCCAGGACTCAGACAACCTTCCCGTCCGACATGCGAAAGAAGCACAACAACACCAAGATTTCATCGGCCCCATCTGCGCTGAGCACACTCGCACGTTCAGCACCATGTCTAGACGGCAGGACGTTACTGCTGCCAACGTGGCTAGGAAGCAAGAACTCCCAGAGGCCGAGATGAGCATCCAGTATGCTTCCCAAGACCCTGATACCATGGCCGACCTGAACGACAAGCTGGAGGTTGACCTATTCCGCTACTCCGCAGAGGGCAACATCATTGCAAACCCCAGGCTTTGGGTAGCTGGACATCAGTGATGGGGCAACATACAACATGTGCATGCAGGACTATCTATGGAAGTGATGGTATTGGTATGCAACAGCTATATTCATAGTTTGATAGGTATTCATGGGATAAATGACAAGCCAGATTCAATATTGAACGACAACACGATCCCGGACACGTGACCCGCCGATTTCGTCAAGCGCAAATCGAACCCTGACCCGCATGTGCGTGAATCAGAAAGCTGCAATTACTGAGCGGACCCCAGGTGTGGGGTCTCGCAGAATGTGCTGCGCTGATAAGGAATGTGTGTGGAGGGGCTGGATTGAGCTGATGCTGCAGGCAGCGATTTCGTGCTGCAAAGCTTAACTAAAAATTGCGCAACCCTGCCGTTTCGCCGTTTCGGTAGACCTGCTCTTTGCCGAGCAGGGTTCGAAAAGTTCGTCTGGGTGAATACGCAACGATCTATTATTCACCATGCTGCCCAATCCCTGAAAACTGCCTCTCCAGCGCCCACAACGGCGACTAGGCTCTACAGTTACGCCGCCCTTCCGACGCGATCGCCCTTTCACTTCCTCCTCTGCTGCCCTTTGCGAACGAGGGACTTAGCACTCCACCACTGGCGTCATGGTCCGCAACATTGTTGTCCTCGGCGGGAGCTCGCACCCACAGCTGACTGAGTATGCGCCGCAGAATGCTGCAGCAGAGAATATTCGGCCTACTGACGAGGGTGCAGGACTATCTGTAACCACCTCGGCATCCCGCCCGCAAAGGTACTCCTTGGCAAGTTCAAGGTCGGCGAGACCAGGGTGGAAATCGAGGAGAGTGTGCGTGGCAAGGATGTCTTTATCATCCAGTCTGGCGGAGGTTCAGGTACGGCGTCCCCGTGCCTTGTGCGCTGTGTGACTATCGCAGTATGACGCATGCTGAAATGGTTGGGGCTTCACATGAAAGAACCGCGCTAATACTTCTGCGGCGCAGTGAACGACCACCTCATGGAGTGAGATTCTCTGCTTGGTGCAGTTGCTTGCAATACCTGACCGTCTTGTAGACTTCTCATCACCATTTCTGCCTGCCAGACAGCCTCGGCCAAGCGCATCACCGCCGTTCTGCCGCTGTTCCCGTACTCGAGACAGTCGGACATTCCCTACAACAAGACCGGCGCACCGCTTGCGAGGGTCCCGGGCACGCGGTCGAGGACAGGCACATACAGCTTCGAGTCGCGCCCGCAGACACCGCACCCAGGCCAGCCCGAGAGCGCAGGCCTGGGCGCCAACGGCAACGGCTCCGCGACTCTGCACCACCAGCTCAGTCGCATGAAGCTGGAACAGCAGCCCAACGGCTCGTCGAACCCTTCGAGCCCCGTGAAGTCCAATGGCCTTCGCCGCAGCGAAACAGTCGACTCGGGCAAGTCGGAGGCCTCGGTGCACTTCAACGGCGCAAACGGCACAAACGGCGTTGTCGCAAAGCCGACCACCAAGCCGCCAGCTTTCGAGCCCCAGGTTGGATACCGCCAGTGGGTTGCACAGGCTGGAACATTGATCGCCGACCTTCTCACATGCGCCGGCGCTGATCATGTCATTACCATGGATCTGCACGGTGGGTAGCTTTCCTTCTTTGGCAGAAGCTTATACTGATACATTGATAGACCCCCAGTACCAGGGCTTCTTCGACATCCCCGTCGACAACCTGTACGGCCGTCACCTCCTCCGCAAGTACATCCAGTCGAACATCCCCGACTATCAGCAAGCCGTCATTGTCAGTCCTGACGCTGGAGGTGCCAAGCGAGCCACTGCTATCGCCGACGCGCTGGGCATGCCCTTCGCCCTCATCCACAAGGAGCGCCGACCTACACAGATTAGCGACAGGCAGAACGCAACCATGATGCTTGTCGGTGACGTTGCAGACCGCACTGCTATCCTGATCGACGACTTGGCAGACACATCGAATACCATCACTCGCGCGGCCAAGCTGGTCAAGAAAGAGGGTGCCTCGCAGGTGTATGCGCTGATCACCCACGGCATCCTCAGCGGAGACGCCATTGACCGCATCAACGCGAGTGCGCTGGACAAGGTCGTAGTCACCAACACGGTCGACCAGACCGAGCACAAGTCGAGGTGCCCCAAGCTAGAGGTTCTCGAAGTCGGCAACGTCTTCGCAGAGGTGGGTCCAGTTCCAACACAAGATCCGATGCAATTGTTGATTTCTCGTAGGCTATCCGACGCGTCCATCACGGCGAGAGCATCAGCGTGTTATTCGACTACAGCTAGTGGCTGGAATCGAGCCGGACACGTGCGTCCTCATTTCGTGAATATCTCCTTTCCAACCCCGAAGACGTCCCCGGGCGATAGAACACATATTAGAGTGCGGTGGCGGCAATTTGGACAGGATATCTCCAGAGTCGTTGTTTCTTTCCGTAACAGGCAAAACCACGTTTCGTGCCGTGCCGCTGTTCATACACCCGCTGAGGAGCGGTATACTAAGCACCTAGCCTGCATGCTGCATATCCTTTGCACGGACGGCGTTGGGCGGCGTACATGTTCGAGTGTACAATCTAAAACTGTAGATGTGAGATATCGTGCCCTGAATTCCGGCTTCGAGACTTCGAGGCCGGTGAATCTGCGTTCCTCGTAAATATGCTTTGGTGTTTTTCCGTATTTTATGTGTTATATTCACCTCGTTGCGCCTGACTGTTCCCTGATTGTGGGCTGGCGCGCACTGCGTGTGCCTTCCCTACCAACGCTGCCAAGATGCCTCACCGGCGGATGAGAGCACGCTTGGTAGCTGTCTGAAGACACGCTCCGACCCGCCCCCTGTCAAGATATCTAGCTTGTCAAGCAAAGTGTACGACAATGATGAAAGCCGTCTGTGAATTGTAGAATACAATTCACCAACGACCGCGATCCCATCCTTGGCTGCAACATATGACGCCCGCGCTCGATGTCAGTAACAATATGAACTGACTGATGCGCAGCGAGCTCACACTTCTGATTTCTAGCAACAAGCAAGCCGAACTCAAGTTACCAGCTCTTTAGCTCCCTTGATCTACATACGCTGAGCTTGAGTCAGCCTGCTAGACAATGCCTAGTGACGAAATCAGGTGATATTCCTATGTAGGTCGGGAATCATAGGCAACATGAGTAACTGTGGACGACCCAGATCGAAGTATGCATTGAGATGGACCAGTATATTATTAAATGAAGTCGCTACCAAAACTAAAGTATTTACCCAGAAATCCTCAACGCGCAGGGTCCCGCCCGTAGTCGAGCCTACTCTATACTCTCAATTACTATTGCGGCGCACCCATGCTCTGCAGCCTCGCCAACTCGAAGTAAACACCCCTCTTAGTCACTAACTCGTCGTGTCTCCCCTTTTCAACGATCTTGCCCTGATCGAAGACGTAAATGACGTCAGCATGCTGGATGGTTGAAAGTCTATGCGCGATGGCGATTGTAGTGCGTCCTTGTGCGGCGGAGTCGAGAGCGTCCTGGACGACGCGTTCGGATGTCGAGTCGAGAGCGGAAGTCGCTTCGTCGAGAAGGCTATCCATCCATTAGCAAAAACTCTAACACCGGACAAGACAAGGCAAGGATAACTTACAGAACCTTAGGATCCCTCAGCAACGCCCTCGCAATAGCAAGGCGCTGCCTCTGCCCGCCGGACAACAATGCACCCTTTGCACCAACGAGCGTGCTGAAACCATCTGGCAGACTCATAATGAATTCGTAAATATTCGCATCCTTACACGCCTGCACAATCGCCTCTTCGGGAATGTTATCCTTATCAGCAAGAATGTTCTCGCGAATGGTGCCCGTGTACAGTGTTGTCTCCTGGCTCACAATAGCAAGCTGTGCACGGTAGTCTTGCAGGTTGTACTCCTGCAGATCCACATCGTCAACAAGCACAGAGCCGGTGATAGGGTCGTAGAAGCGCTCGAGGAGCTGCATGACTGTGGATTTGCCACTTCCACTGGCGCCAACAAGAGCGATGAACTGCCCCGGCTCAGCAGTAAGATCAATGCCGCGGAGAACGCGGTGGTCTGGGCGACCAGGGTACGTAAAGCGGACGCCCTGAAGTTCGACCTTGCCAACCAGACGATCGATCTTCTTGCCGTCGGGGGACCAATGGTCGATCTTGGGCATGCGGTTGAGGAAAGACTTGAGCAGCTTAGCGGCATCGCGGGCCTCGCCCATGTCAGGGGCGAAGGAGAAGATGGCGCCAGCGGACTGGGCACCGTTGATAATGGCGGAGTAGACGATGAAAAATTGCAGGACTGTGTACTCTTGTGCGAGCAGAAGACGGCCACCGTACCAGAATACGAGGGCGAAGATCAGCATGGAGAGACCCTGCGATGTGGCGTATAGGGAAGCCGAGATGTTGTTGAAGACGACGTTTCCAGCAGCCTGCTTGCCGAGTTTCTCGTGGTACTCGCGCAGGAGATGCTGTTCAAGAGAAAGTGTAGCGACAGTACGAATCGAGGATGCTGCCTCACAGGCGAAAGATGCGGCCTCGGAAGTCTCCTTGTTGCGCTTCTCCATGCGGATGAGGGCATAGAATCTGAAGTAACCGCAAGCCAACATGAGCGGAATGGTAGCGGTACAGACAAGCGCAAGCTTCCAGCCGAACGAACAACCGACGATGATGGCGACGATAATCGAGGCTGTGGAGTTGACAATCGTGCCGAGGGTGGCACCACTGAGACCAGCAAGACGGTTGGCTTCAGAGGACAAAAAGGTAGCCAGTGCACCTGAGGTGACTGTCTCGCCATCGAAGAACTCCATGTCTTGTCGAAGCATGGCTGCAAAAGCACGCTGTCGAACATTGCCAATGAGGCGAGCAGAACCCCTGGAGAGCGTCATACCCTGCGCTAAGTAGAAGGATCCAATGACAAGACCGAGCATGAAGAACATCCAACACCAGAAATTAATGTTATAGCCTCCCAGTGATGTACCAGGCGATAAGAGCGAGTTGATCGAGTTGCCAAGGAAGATGGCCTGAATAGCCGGGTTGCAGCCTGCGAGGAAACTGAAGATCAGACCAAATGCCATGGTTTTGTGCTCGCCAGTATTCATCTCCCAGGCAAACTTGACGAGAGCCCAAGTACCGTACAGCTCTTCTCCCTCTTCCTTCTTTGCAAAGATCGATGGAGCAGATGTGACGGTACGCATAAGTGCAGGCTTCTCTCCCCCGAACTCATCGGCCTTCTCGTTCTCGATGTCCTCGGTGCCGGAAAGGCGCTTGCCAGTCTGTTTCTTCTGGGTAAGCTCCTGAGCTTGGACAAGACTTGCGTAGACCCCATGCGCGCGAATAAGACTCTCGTGCGTGCCGGTCTCGACAATCTCACCCTTGGCCATGACCACTATATTGTCCGCTTTCTTGATTGTGCTTAGGCGATGGGCAATGACGATGGTGGTACGGCCCTTGGCGGCGCGGTCGAGCGCATCCTGAACGAGGCTCTCTGACTTGGTGTCAAGTGCTGCGGTAGCTTCATCAAGGAGCAATATTTTCGGGTCCGATACGATAGCGCGGGCGATGGCAACACGTTGCTTCTGACCACCACTCAACAGATTTCCTCGCTCGCCAACCTTTGTCTGGTAAGCATCTGGCAGATCCATGATGAAGTCGTGTGCGTTCGCGATCTTGGCAGCCTCTTCAATCAGCTCCATCTTCTTCTCGTCAGATGCGTCGGCATATTCGGTGTTAACCAATCCGTGGAGAATACTCTCGTAGACAGTGGTGCTAAAGAGCACGGGCTCTTGGCTCACGATTGCCATGTGTTGTCGCAGCCACCTAAGATTAAGTGTGCTGATGTCTTTGCCGTCCAAAAAGATCTGACCCTCCATGGGGAGGTAGAAGCGCTCCAATAGACCAACGATGGTTGACTTTCCGGACCCAGAGGCTCCTACCAATGCTACCATTTGGCCAGTGGTGACGCTAAGATTGAAGTTCTGAAGAACAACGGTGTCTGGCCGAGAGGGGTAGACATGCTTGAGGTCTTTGAATTCCAGGTTGCCTACAAAGTCACCGGGAATCTCGCCTTCCTCGGCCTCAGGGTCGATAGGCGATTTACGCTCGATAGTGTTGAAAACTTTGTTTGCCGCTGCTGTGGCGCCGCCGAAGGCCTGGAGATGGGGAAGGTTCGAACCGATCGAGATACCAGCGATCATAGTAGCCATGACGACTGTCAGGATGTTCGCAACGCCTAGTTCGCCGTTGTCGAGGAATCGCTTTCCCTGCCAGAACGCTAGAGAGTACTGCAAGTTGAGAACGCCCATCATTCCGGCAATCATCATGGACAGCCAGAGCTTCGCTTTGAAGTCGTACCCAGTCGCTTTGTCGAGCATGATCTTGTACTTCTCTTGCAAGCGCCTCTGTGTACCGTACGCTGCCACGTTGCGGGCAGATGCAAGGACTTCTTCGGCCAACGATGCTGCTGTAGCGTTCTCGTCGATCGCAAGTGTTTGATTCTTCTTCATCAAGGTTCCATTGACTCCCATCATAAGCACAAGAGCGACCGTGGCCGACAGCATGATGAGAGACAGCTTCCAGGACCGGATGAAACCAATGATAATTGCCGAGACGAACATAGACACGCCGGAAACGAAGAGACCGATCTTTTGGCCGATGCCGTCTTGGACCAGGTTCATGTCAGAGCTGATACGGGTGGTGACTTCTCCAGATCCTAGGAAATCGAAGAAAGCGATGTTCTGCCTGAAGATGGCTTGGAGGTAAAGTTCTCGAATCTGTTTGGTGATCTGCTCTCCAGTGTAAGAAAACCCAATGATGCTAATGTAAGTCGTAACGAATGAACCGATGGCTGTGTACAATCAGCGCGAATACAATCTCGAGACGGGTGTATACATACCAAGGTACACAAAGTACAGTGTAAACTGGTTGGTTTGGCTCTTGAAGTGTTCTGCCGCGGTAGCGTCCACGGAAAAGCTCGTAAAGCTTCCTGCGAAGTTACCATATACGAGCTACAAGATGTCAGTCTATGCAATGAAAATTGGTTCGGCATGTTGCTTTGGAATCGTACTGTCATTAAGGGCATCACAGCTCCAGCTGCGATTGATGCAATGAGTGAAACAATCATGATCAGCGTGTGCTTCTTGTTTGCATATCGAAACAACGCGAAGTATCCAACATTGAGCTTTGGGGCATCCGTCTGTCTCTCGATGATCTGTTTGTCGTGGTCGCTAAGGCCAGCAGTGAGCGTCCTCGCCCCTTCCTCAGATGATGCATCGAGCTTCTCATCGATTCCTCTCCCGGGCGGCGAGTCGATGTTCAGCGTCGCTGCATTCGCAGCAGCCTTTTCTTGGGGAGCGGCCATGGTGAAGTAGCGGCTCCTCAAGGCCGGCTGGTCGAAGTACTCTGAAAGAGCTTCGCGACAAGATGTCTTTCACCTGGCGAAATTTCGACCTCGGCGCCACCAGTCGAATCCACTGGCCTGAGACTGGATTCGGTTTGATGTCCCTCCGTCTCGCTAAGCCGCAGTAGGTAAAGGGGCAGCAACGTCAACTCGTTCTCGAAGGTGGCTTGCGTTGGGGGCTCGCGTGCGCAACAAGCTTTATTTTCAAGATTGGAGAGCCCCGCCGGATACGCAAATACGGTGGCGGACGAGTATCTGGAGGAATATGTGAACACACCGCGGAATTGCGGCACTGCGCTGCCAAGATATGAAGATCGCGGAGAGTGCAAGAAGAGTACAGACGCGTGGCGAATGAAGAGTTTGATTATTGTTGTGCTCGTTTGTTCGTTCAGGCGCGCAAATGCAGTAAGTGTCAGAGCGTGGAAAGACCAGCCCTTTGAATCATGAGGGCGGCCGCGTCTCTGCGACTGCCTAATCGCCAGATGCCGTCATGGACGCCGCATGATGTCGTTGAATCCAAAAAGATCAGTCCGTCGCCGCTTACTCCATTCTCCGAAGCAGTCAGCAGAGTCCTTTACGTTTGTCTGCAGGCGGCGTCAATCAGTGGATCGAGCTGGGTCGGTAATGTCGGTGACGGAGGTTAGACAAATCCCGACGCCGCGACCGTGTTCATCGCCACCCTCTCACTCACGTCCTCCCGCGCTCGCTCTCATACTTGAAATATACAGCAAAAAGGTCATCGCTTTGCGGGTCTGCTTCGTGTCGTAACACCGACGAAGGGAAGGGTCAACGCCACAGATATGGAGGTATGCGCACAGACTTGGGTCCGACGTGTTCGTTACCATCAGGCCCTCAGTCACACACATATCACCTGAATGCGAAGCTTAATGCGAAGCTTAATGCGACAACACAAATGTGGTTCGGATTTGCTGGAGCCTGTATCGTGGACGTTGCTGCCTAAGGGCTGGCTAAAGTTATCCGGTGTTTAAGGATCTTTAATCCCCATGCAGCCCCGGACTATATGCCGAATGAGTACGAGGCGTTGCCTCTTCGGATGCTCATATTAGAAACTTCGCATTCAGTGCGTATTCTAAGGTTCAGAGCTTTGTTTGCCGCCATACTATTTTGTTCACCGTGTTTCTCAACCGTCCAGGCCGGCTCACTACGTAGTCATTTGTGTTTTGACCATCGTTTCACGAAGCTCATCTCTAGCTCAAGTTTGGCGGTCACATTTTGTCCCAAGGAACATCAGACAGTGTACCTTCGGGGTCTCAGTTATGCCCGACTAATACCATTTGACTAACCAAAAGAAGACCCCGCTCTGATGAGCCGCACTGGCAGCTTCACGTGGGACGTACCGGAGATCCTTAAGCTCCAATGGCAAGGAAGCATTTTCCACAACCGAAAAGAGCTGAGATGGTTCGGAAACCGCGATTTCGATGAGTGGGACCGATCTGGGTAGCACGGGAAGTCGATCTCGATCTTCTACGATGCGCAGTCGCCATTTGTGGAGCTCACGTCGTTTCATGGAACTGTTTTTCTCGATGGCCTCTTCGAAGATCGGGAGCAAAGAATGGGAGTCTACCTGGTGTGCTCAGGTATTCTTCAGGATCTACGCCGAGTACCAGCATGGAAAGCTTCCTCCACATTCTCTTCAACAATCGTGGTGCTGGTGCCACTGACCCTCGGGACCTCGTATTCGGAATACTAGGTCTCTTGGACTCAAAATCGCACAACATCAGAGTTAACTACTCTCAAAGTAACGTACTCCACAAGCATGCCGGTCACCCAAGTGTACCGGTCACTTTTGCCAAGACCACACCAAACTTCACTCTACTAACAATGCCTCAACGCAGCAACATGAAAAGGCTCTCTAATGAAGCAGACATACAGTTTGCTCTCCAGGCTATCCAACAAGACGCGACGCTCTCTCAGCGACGCGCTGCAGCAATCTACAACGTCTCTCAAAGCACGCTTAGTGACCGACTTGCTGGAGCCACCCCACGCTGCAACTACACACCTAATACTATGAATCTTACAAAGAACAAAGAGGAGGTAATTGTCCAGCACGTGTTGAGGCTAGACGAGCGAGGATACTCGCCCCAGCTTGCTGATGTAGAGGATATGGCCAATTCTCTGCTTGCTGAGCGCCACCAGCCCTACGTTGGCAAGAACTGGGCTGCCAACTTTGTTAAACGTCAGCCAGAGCTCAAAGTCAAATTCAATTGCAAGTACAACTATAAGAGAGCTCTGTGTGAGGATCCTAAGGTGATTAGGGACTAGTTCTAACTAGTAGAGAATACCAAAGCCAAGTATAGTATACAAGATGAAGACACCCACAACTTTGACAAATCTGGCTTTATGATGGGCGTTATATCAACAGGAGCTGTTGTTACAGGCTCTGAGCGTCAAGGGAGACCAAAGGCAGTGCATCAGGGCGACCGAGAGTGGACCAGCATCATCCAAGGCATCTGCGCGAAGGGCTGGTCTATCCCATCCTTCATCATCTTCTCTAGCAAGCACCACCTCTCTGCCTGGTACAAGGAGCCTAGTATACCTAACAACTGGGTTCTTAATGTCTCTGACAACAGCTAGACTAACAACAAGCTTAGAGTTAAGTGGTTGAAGCACTTTAATGAGCACACAAAGGCGCGCACTGTTGGCAGCTATCGGCTGCTTATTCTGGACGGCCACGAGAGCCACAACTCAGTCGAATTCCACCAGTACTGCGAGGAACACAAGATTATTACCCTGTGTATGCCTCCACACTCGTCGCACCTACTACAGCCACTTGACGTAGGCTGTTTTTCTCCATTGAAGAAGGCCTATGGCCGCCAAGCTAAGCGGCTAATGCGCAGCAAGATTACGCGTATCACTAAACTTGAGTTCTTGCCGTGCTTCAAAGCAGCTTTTGACGCCTCAATCACAGAGAGTAACATCCAGGGAGGATTCAGAGGTGCTGGCCTAGTCCCACTTGACCCAGAGGCTGTGCTATTGAAGCTTGAAGTACGGCTGCGCACGCCAACGCCACCTACTGTGGACAACAGTACGTGGGAGTCTAAAACACCAAGCAACACCCTGGAATTTGGGTCTCAATTGAAGCTGATTCGAGAGAGGATTCAGAGACACGCTGATAGCTCGCCAACGTCTATGGTTGACGCTCTTAATCAGCTCACTAAAGGCGCAGAGCTGATGGCGCATTCACTGGTTTTAGTGCGCAACCAGGTTGCTGACCTACAGGCAGCCAACAAGGCTGCCACACGTCGTAAATCACACAAAAGGAAGCAAGTACAGCAAGAAGGGACTCTAACCTTTGCTAAGGGAGTGCGGCTAACTACTCTAAAGGAGTTTGAGGCCTGTAGTGATGGGAAGAAGGCAAAGAAGAGGTCACGCGTTGATGGGAGTACTCAGTCTTTAAGGCGCTGTGGTACATGTGGCGAGACAGGGCACAACAGAACAACTTGTAAGAAAGATGCGTAAAGTACTATAGATTAGTACAATATACTGTGTAGCATAGTAGAATGCTGCTGTGTACTATGGTACTGCAAAGTAGTTATAGTGTTGGTGTGGTCTTGGCAAAAGTGACCGGTACACTTGGGTGACCGGCATGCTTGTGGAGTACGTTACTGAAGACGGATACACAGATGTGGCCTTCCTCATCATTTGTACAAGTGCATCGCTAGGGATACTCTCCGCCGCAGGAGCCGCAACCCTCAAAAGCAGCGGATGGGCGCAGAATGTACTCAATCTCTCATCCTGGGTCCCAAATTGGAGCTTACATCAGGGAGAGAGCAGTCTTGCTTTGGTAGAGACTTTCGTGGAACCTTTCAGTGCGGGTGGCCGTTACAAAGGAACCGCCATAAACACAAAGGGTACGAGAATCAGAACCACAGATGTCAGGGCACTATCACAGATTTATGTCCACACACTCTTGAAGCAGTGTATCCGAAAGACATGCTGGACGTACTCTATCGATGGATAATGGTTGTGAGTTGCATAGGGTTTCGCATTCAAGCTCCAATTTGACATAGCCACTGGCCAGATCAGCAAGGGCATCCACTGGGAAACCGAGAAAGACATGGAACTCATAAGAACTGCTAGCACCAGTCCCAAAATTACTATCTGTCCCCCCGAGACGGACGCCGATGATGAGATTACTATCTTCACGAAGCTTTTTCGGTATTTCTGCGGATCTCATGGCAGAGTGATGCAAATCGTGAGTAAGCAATGAACCCAAGATCGTCTCGTAACGCGCATGTTCAAACTCGTACGTCACCGACAACTTTGTCCTACTGATGCGGGTTTTCTCGGACTTGGTCTAGAAGCAGCTCAAAGGACGATATCATTGTGGTACTGCTGGGTCTACCCGTCCCCTACGTCTTGCAGCCATTCGACATAAACAAATTTATTTACAAATTGATCGGCGAGTGCCACATCGACGGCGTTACGTACGGGGAAGCCCTTCACCGTGCCAGAGAAGAAGCAGAAGCGAGGGAAACTAGATTGGCACCTACTATTGCCTGCACTTGTTTGTCGCCGTTAGAGACGTTCACCCCCATCTGATCTTGTATTGTTTGACGTGGGATATGAGGTTAAGTCAGACAATATGCTATCAGTTCTTAAGTTCAAGCTGGTCGAACGTCGAAAAAGCTCCTGATGATCGTGATCCTTGTCAAGGGCTTCTTTCCAATGAGAAGTTCGATCAGTAGCCGCAGCTTATGTACTACGTCTGCCACGCTGGCCAATGACTGATCGATCTGAGGCAAGGCCGATCGTAATGCGTCGAAGACGAGAATGTACCTCACAGGGGTGTCGAATGCCATTATAACATAAGGCGTATCCATAACGCCGCCGCTGAAGTGCCCGTCAATCGTCAAATGCAATATCCATCACCACCAGTGGCGTTTCAAGCCCTTGACGCCGGGATGACCGGCTCGTCACCAGCTGTATTTCTAGTAGCCTTCGTCTGCTCTTCTTCCTTGATCCAGAACTTCTCTTTGTTGCTTTGCAGCATCTTGTGCATTACATCTGTCATAGACTGCAACATCGCTTCCTCGGTGCTCTTCTTCGTCATTGCCTTATCAATAGTGTGGTGCCTGAGAAATGTGCCAGCGCATTTACTCAGAATATGGGGATGCCTATTGATCCCAGGGTATCCCATAGCATCATCACACGGAATCTCGATGATCTCTTTGCCAGACGGGTTGTAGTCCCAACGAATATACTCCGAGAACGCTCTCTGCTCGTGGCTCCACTCTTGCTTCCAGTGAGCGCACCCGGGGTACTGCTTCTCGCTGGGGCACTCCTTCCAAGCCTCCATCATCTTGAATGTATGCGGTAGTGCTTGCGCGATGACAACGCCGGTGTTGAGTGCGAGTTTGCCTTTGCTGTCATTGGAAGCGTTATCATCGCCGTCGAGCACTTGCCTGGTGTCGAGCGGCATCGCGATGGAGGTTGAGGGTGTAATGCCCCAGCGGTTGAAGAGCCATTCGATGGGGAGTTCGAGGTGCTGGATTGTGGCGTCGGCGTCGACAAAAACTACGAAGCGGTATGACTCGAGAAGTTCGGATAGGACGTGCGGTTTCACCCAGGTGTTATGGTAGCCTTGGATCTCCATAGAGCGCGCGTTAAAGAAGCGGTAGTCGTAGCCGTGGATTTGGGCTGGGGACATTAGTCTTTGCAGAAGGCGTGAATTGCAGGGCGCGCTCAGGGTGCTCACAGTAGAGGAAATGGTTCATGAACGAGGCAGACATCATGCCGCCATCCTTTTCGGCGTTCATGTTGGCCCAATCCACGCGTTCGCTGTTCCAGAGCTCGTTGTCGCCATCCGGAATACGGGTGTCGATATCGACAATGAGGATCTCGTTGCGCAAGGGCTCCTTCCACCACGGCCCTTGCTCGTTGATCTTGTACTCTTGCCCAGAAGCATCCATGTATGCCTCTGCTGAGATATTCGTGCGTATCGACTCGTAAAGGTGAAGGAAAGACTCGCTCATTGTGAGTTGTTCATGCTTGAACATATGCGTAGCGCTGTTGGCGGCGTCACCCGCTGTATCCTTAATCTGCTGCAAGGGGTTGTTGCCATGTATGCTCGCCGCCGAATAGATGAAAACAGACATGAAGAAGACGAAAACACATAGCGCCACGAGGCGATGTGCAGAGAAGACCGGTCCCGGCATTGTATGAACGAGTGTGAGAAAGCGCAAACGGAAGTGAAGGAAAGGAACGGAGCGACGGCAAGGAAAGCACTTAACAAGCGTCAGCAAAGGCGCGTCGTCGGCGCGGAGCTTGCGGGTAGACTTTGATAAGCTTGCAGCGAAATAAGAGTTTGAAAATAGCACCTGTTGAGGCAGGCCCAAACCCGTGCCATTACCTATGGTCGATCCATCGGCAGTACTTATACATCCTGGCATCTAGGTGAAGATGACACGAGGCGACCATGCTCAGGACAAACAAGCGGAATACCTCCAATCCACTGCAGTCTACCTCGTATGTTCACCCGTCAGGATCAGAGCGTCAGGGCTGACCCTGCAACGCGTTCGATACGTGACGCAGACTTGTGCTTGCCATGGCTGGCGCCGCGCCGTCCAGAACTGTCCGTCAGTCTAGCAGTTGAGTTCGTGGATGTTGAATGCAGCCAACTTCTGGGCACCTGCTTTCACTTTATTGGCGATGTCGGTTTTTTTCACTCTAAGATGTCAAGGGTCCGTGGTACCGATAGCGTAGGTATCGTTTCCGTAGCTCCCGAAAAGGCTCCGGCACCAAAGCTCCGGGGTGCAGCGCATGTACTTCGTAGGAAGTATGCTATCGATGCCGCAACCAATCCGTGCTCTCATCATGACTCCAGCGTACGAAGTATCTCCTTTTTTCTTCTGTCCTGCAAACGTGTAAGGCCAGCCGTCAGGCAGACTCCAGAGACAGGATCCTTTTGTCTACTGTGGTTACAGGCATAAGTAGTGTAGGTGGACCCGGCATGGCCGGGGTGTCTGTCGGATGACGCGGAATGGCTCTAGTGACAGAATTACACCGAATTACACCTAATTTTGTATATATCACAGTGCTGACTTGTCTTCTGTTGCATCCACGTACCATTACAACAATTTCTACTCAACCCACATCAACTCAGCCGTCAATGCCGCCATTAACGCCACCCCGCCACCGATATCTATCGCGAGATGGGCGTCTCTAGTAGGCTGGCGGATGGGTAGGGTAGGCTTTTTTTTGTTTTAGCTTCTAGTTCCTTAACTAGTAGAGATACGCTTATGTAATGTATATTTCTATTAAAAAATAATTACCTAATTTGGCCAACTATTAACTGAGTGATTGAGCTTACCTAGCAAAAGCCTACCTAGGATGAGTATGCTCGCTAGGTACCCTCCCTTTTTTTACTGTCTTTTAGATTTAGGAGCTGTAATATAAGAGCTACGAGGAAAAGCTATGTAAGGAAAATAAACTACATGTGATTCTCTTTAAAACGAGCCCTTACTTGCCTAAATTGGCCTAGTATCAGCTAAGTTAGGGTGGTACCCAAACAGGACTTTAGAGCATACCCATCCGCCAGCCTAATACACCCTAACTGAGCTCTAAGAGAGAGGCATAGAGCCTATCTATTGGCCACTGTACTCACCAGACCTCAACCCAATTAAGGAGATCTAGAACAGGATGAAAGACTAGATAGAAATACACTATTCTAACCTACCTAGGGGAAGGTAGCGTATAGGCTGGCGGATGGGTAGGGTAGGGTAGGGTATAGGTATAGTCACGTGATTTATGGGTAGGAACTAGGTAGGGTACATGAGGTACCCTACCCAAACGGTTTGGGTAGGGTAGCACGTGACTCGGTATAGGTATAGGTAGGGTAGCACGTGACTAGGTATAGGTATAGGTAGGGTAGCTAGGTAGGGTCTAGGAATGGGTAGTTATTAGCAAAATCTAGGTTACTACTCTAGACTTTGTACTATTGTATACTTTAGAGCATAAGTATGTGATAATAGACTGTGATAATAAATTATAGATGCTTTTTCTTCTAAGTATTGTGTATGCGAAAGAATCTACTAGTACAACCTAGGGTTAGTTGTATACAAACTAGGTTAGTAATATACCCAAACCAAACCTATACCTAGCACGTGCTACCCTACCTATACCTATCCCTAGTCACGTGCTACCCTCCCCTACCTATGGTCCGTGTAACCCTACCCTACCTATACCTATGGTCCGTGCGACCCTCCCCTACCTATACCTACGTCCGTGCGACCTATACCCTACCTATACCCTACCCTAGGTACATGGTACCCATCCGCCAGTCTAGTAGCGTAGCTACAATAAACTGAGGGATAATGTAACAGCAGCTTAGGATTCAATTGCCCCTAAGGGTCTTAGAGAGGTCATAGGCACCATGCATGACTATTGCCAGGCAGTAATTGACGCTCAAGGTGGTCACACAAAGTAACGTACTCCACAAGTGAGCCGCTCACTTTTGCGAAGACCACACCTAACTCTAACTTCTCTTGCACGTTACAGTAAGTATTGCAACTTACTGTAACTTACAGTATACAGCACTAACCTACAGTATCTTGCGCATCTTTCATGCACGTTCGCGCGTTGTGCCCTGCCTTACTACACCTACTACAGATATCCTGGTGTTCTTATCATCCCAGCACTCCCATATGCCTTGTAGCGGATTCACACCTATTCCGGATATCTCTCTTCTTGCCTGCGTCGTTACAAAAGGTGAGCGGCTCGCTTGTGGAGTACGTTACTGAGATTTGTATGTAATCTATGACAAAGCTGAAGCCAATTCAACCGAAAAATACTGCCGAACATCCCTGCTGTGCTGACCCACCTACACTACTTATGCCTGTAATCACAGTAGGTAGGTCACTGTCAGTATCATCGTATGCTGGTGCGTTTCATCGATAATTAGGCTAGTACGATGCTGGGTGATCAGCCCCTGAATGTACCCTTGAGCATGTCTATACATGATGCTCACCCAACCTTTTTGACCGAACTTTCCCACGGCTCGTAAAACAGAATTAGCACTTGTAAACTCCCTCCAATAAAAGGTAGTGAGTGACGGCCGTTCGAGTCGAGTCCTGAATAGTGCATTGGGCTGGTTGTAGTCTAAGTTGGTACTAAGCATCTATACGAAACTACGCAGCCGAGCTTGGTCAATAAATCCCTCTTCATGATCTTTCCGATGTCTCGCTCGTGGCGTTGAAATAGTTGCTTACTTTTTGCTGCAGCTCACAGCAACGCTGCAACAGCACTCGTGTCTTGACATCGCATCTGCGTATAACAGGCGATCATTCATCGATCCCACCGCCTCTGCTTACGTCAAGCTGCTCATCTCTCGAGCTCTGTGCTGCTTGAAGACCTCCTGGCGAAAGCCTGCGTCATGCATCCACTTGTCACTCGACGCCTGTTTGCGAAGTGCACGGAAGCCTAGCAAGGAGAGTGGCTTAAGTCGTATGACTGATCAAAGAGATCGTTCCTGCAAGTTGTGTAGATCGATGACAATGCACCGTGATACACTCGTGCTGGGACCAATCGGCCACCTTCCACATCCTTGCAAGGTGTTCTCCACATCCCACCTTCGACATCCACACCACCAAACCTACCACCAAGTCACTACCACTGCGCAAATACTCGTAACTCCACGACAAGCTCTGCAAGTACCGCGCGTCTACAAACGAAGGCTCAAGCACCACCACCATGCCGGGCAAAATCGTCCCTGTAACGAGCTCCTCCCACTTCGAAACGCTTCTCAGCTCCTCCACATACACGATCGTTGACTTCTACGCTGACTGGTGCGGGCCTTGCAAAACGATTGCACCTGTGTTCCAGACACTCGCCGAGAAGGAGACAAAGCCAGGGAAGCTACAGTTCGTGAAGGTCGACGTAGACGCACAGCAAGAGGTGGCGAAGAAGTACGGGGTCTCTGCGTACGTACACCCAACACTTCGTCAGAGCCATACGAGAAAAGGAAGCATAATTTGAATGGATTAACGCTAACAAGAAACAGCATGCCCACCTTCCTCGTGATTAAATCCAAGTCCGTAATCGAGACCATTCGTGGCGCCAACCCATCCGCTCTTACAGCCGCCGTTCGGAAAGCCGCAAACGACACAGGCGCAGGCAGCGCAGGTTCTACAGCCTTTACCTCCAAGGGCAGGACATTGGGCAGCTCGAGCCAGCCGAGTCAGACAGTGGGCGATGGCGCATTTGCAGGGCTGCAGAGGCTGATGACAGGCAATGGTGGGTTCGCGGACATGGCGATACGATTCATTGCGCTGTACCTGGTGAGCTTGTTTGCATTTGATTCGTTCAAGGCGGCGGAAGAGAGCCCGTACAATATCAGGCCCAGGAGGTAAGGAACGAGGAGCATCGTACAGAAGATAACACGCAGATTCAGGCGTACAGAGGGATTGCAGCAATATTACATGAGTCATCATTCGGCATCCAGCATGATGAAGTTGGCCGTGGTGCTGTTTGCCTGAAGAAGGCGCGGGGCGATGCTCGTGTGTCAGAATCTTCTCCACGTTGCCAACTTACCTACAGGTCCCTATCACAGGTGACCAGGGAGTACAGGACAATGCCGCAGTCATATACACACCACGTACCAAATCAAGCATGCAAGACCAACGTCTGGACTGCAAAGACAAAACACTATTGATCACTGTTCAGCCTGGCACGATGTACCCAGCTGCAGACTTGGTGACCACATTGTGAACGATGCGTCCAAGTTAGTGTAGTTCCCACACGATAATGTATTCGATCCTTCCTAGATAACACCCGTGAATGCACGTGATTATGACATCCGGCTCAACCATCCTCCGAAATTGGATGGAAGACGTCCTGTCGATACAAGATCAGCTTGTATCAATGAAATGCGTTGGTTCATGGTCGATAGAGTCGCGTTACCGGTCAAATTACTCTGAAGATCGAGCGTTCAGCATTATGGGCGCGGCCAGCGTGCAAGTGAGATGAGTTCCCATTCGAAACAGATATCACTGAGTCAATGTGATGTTCGATGGAGCATTGTGCCTGAGAAGTTGGGATGGACGAAAAACGCCAAGGTTCCGTTATCATCGAATGCCGTTATCGCCCTGACATCGCACCTTCGTGCAACGATGTAAGAAACAGCACTCAAGGGACCCCTTGCGCTGCTGGATTGAAGCCATGGATACTCCGGAAGTCACTGTTCTTCTGCTTGGAGATGCGGAGTGCGGCAAGTCGACCTTCTTGTCGTAAGTGTTTCCTTTACAGACATCATACCCTCCGGTTCTGGCGCATGGCGCATCAGGCGTCTGGTACTGTCTCCGAGTTTCGTTCTCAAGCTGACACGTGGGCAGCCGTCTCAGCCTGGGTGTCCAGCCCATTGATGATGACCTCCCACCGTATGCGCTACCGAAGCTTCGCGACTCAGACCAGCCCTTCGAGTTCGACATCTCGCTCTACGGACGTCCCTACAAGCTGCGGTTCTTCGACACGAAAAGCCCCGAGAACTACACGCTCCTCTCCCCTCAATTTGTGATACTGTGCTATGACATCAGCTCGCGTGCCTCCCTTGTTTCACTCACGAAGACCTGGCTGCCCATCGTCAACGGCCACTTCAACTACGATGAGAATCTTCCCGTAATGGTTCTGGGCTTGAAGAGAGATTTGCGCAGGCAATGGACACTGCTAGAAGTTGGCGAAGACAAGAAAGGCAAAGGCCCGAGCGTAATGCCTCACGAGGGCGTCCAGGCCGCACAAAGGATGCTTTGCGATCACTATGCCGAGTGCAGCGCTTTGACGGGCGAGCTGTGCCGCGAGGTTCTGCAAGATGTCGCGAAGACTTGTGCAAAGACAACGACTGCAGATGGCGCGAAGACTGGAGGCGTGCTGTCCGAATGTGTTGTCATGTAACGACACAGTCCATCTCTGACAGCCATCAAACAAGCGTCTGCAGCCAATTGCAGACAACTATACCGCCGTGTCGCGTAGATACGGTGATATCCAGGACCGCTACCTAGGAATCGTGCAGAGAGCTGTTTCCTCGTCTTTGCAACAATCAGCAGCTCCTTGGCATTTGCAATAGACCCACACCTCATCAGCACCGAACATGCAGACTCGAACGACGAATTGACACTTGAAGGAGACGGGAGCAACTTGCCTGAGCTTCTCTCCCCTCAACAGTGTGACACAACTCAAAACGGCGCCGACACCGATCACATGTCCGAACAGACCAGGCGACTATCGCTATGCCCGCAGTCTCGAGAACGCCACATGTCGGTTACTGATATCACGTTCTTCCCTTCAAAGCCAAGATTCACGATAGTCAAGCGCCGTCCTCGACTTATCCCTGATCTGCACCGGAGCAATCTCCGCGCACGCGCATAATGACGATTGCTATCTTTCAACGACGTTCTCAACGCGCCCTTGCTCAGTGCATTGCTGGGAGCCCTGATTGGCATGACACATGTCCTCCATCGCATTCTCTTCAACAGCACCTAGAGCGGTGGTATCTTCACTGCCCGGCTTATCGAAAGCTGGAAGAATATCGGAGAACTCTTCCATCCGCTTCTGCTCATCATTGCTGGTATCTCTCTATATTTCGAACCAGGACTTAGGGCAGTGCGAAAGCTCTACCGTCAGGAACAGCACTGTCTTCGCAACGAAAGCTTTCAATCTTGTCATTCATTTCACTATATGGCGAGTCGTCAATGTCGGCATCATGTACGCTATTGCACAAGACTCGAACATTCTGGGATCAGACCGAACGCTATGCTTACTATGAGGCTTATGAACGGGACCGCCTGCGATGAAGCTGATCACCATGGTCTAGGTGAGCAATGCTAGCATCAGAGACGGAAGGAAGATTGCAAGAATCTTGACAACATCGTACACCATGAGTTATTGCAAGGTAGAACTGCAGAGCATAGAGGATTTGCTGAAAAGCGATATTGTAAGTACGTACAGTAGGTTTGCTTATATGCCTCTGCATCTGCTTGCTCCCTTTACGCACGCTAGCTTGTTCTAAGCTTTGTCCGCTGTCTTGTCTTGCGTCTAATATCATGTGGGTCCTTATTCCAACATGAGTTCATTGTTGGCAGTCGTGGTTATCGGCGCGCTGTACGCGGGCGAAGCTGCGACCTGGACTGCGGTCTGTGAAACTACTTCGATACTTTCACCTTCACTCTGAGGTGAAGCCGCCATGCGTCAAGACCGTACGCAATAAAGGATCAACCCGCACGCCCCAACCTCATTATACCAATACGTACCACTACGCAGGTGTAGTCGACTCAACGATGAGGTTTCTCTACATTCTTCTGCCTGCCGTCGCGGTTAGCGCCCGTGGCAGTTCATTTTTCAGGTGTGTACACGAAGTCCGTTTGCGGGTGTACTACGATGCACATGTATCGGGGTGACACAATTACTGACATTACAGTTGTAGCAATAACACCAATAATGGCGTCTTCCCTTACCACGCCGGCGTTGGTATGGGTGTTGACACTGCAGCCGACCCACCCGTTCGACGTCCGCCACCACCTCTGCCGAACAGGCGTGCTGAACCAGCCGGCGACGACCTGTGGGGAAAGTGCAACAAAAAGGGGTGCACACTCTCATCTGCAATGCAAGCCAACGATGCAGGTGCAGGATCTGTGTATAGTCCGAAGCGAGACACTGCCAGGAGTCCATTCCGCGGTACTGATGACCTCCGGCGATGGAACTGGAATCTTTCCCCTCCAGAGAAAATTGACGAATCATTTCACGACTTCTACCGCACATGGGGCATTGGAGAGGCCCTCACTGGCCTTGGGGTCTCGGAGTATTCAGATGTCTTCGACGGTGGGGAGCACCGGGTCATCTCCATCGACCACCGGGAGTACGGTCTGTTGGGGGAAAGTGTAGACGAGCAATCATACGATGTCGATGGGAAGAGCTACCGAGCAACCGGTGCTTCCTACGCCTTCTCCATTGATGTCAAGGACGGTGTCATCATGAGTTTGAACCGGGTATCGCCACGCTACGCTTCAAGGGATCGCAAGCCGCCCGTGCCCAGCGATCAGTGGCCGGCGCTGAGGCAGTTCTCAGACATTGCGTGGATAGGCTGGGACTCGATGACCGAGGGTGACGAGATCAAGGGTCTTCGGTATCTTCTCTCGGTGGGCATCGTCAACACTGAGACTAAGCAAGTGACTCGTCGTGCCTTGGATGCTAAAGGCTGGGTGCTGAGTCCATGGCCTGGCCACACATTTGAGCGAAACTGGCCCGAGACCAAGGCACTGGTAGGTAGGTTACTCCGCTACAGCTCGTGAAATTATAGCTAATGCGAAGTGATAGGCACTCCTAATCTCCTAGGCTTTGCATACTTCCTCACAGAGCACAAGGATGTCTTGGGCAACATGTTCGTCGACAAGGTGCAGGTGTTCCAATCTGACACAACATCTCGCAATCCGTCCATTGTCATGCATCTGTTGCAGCCAAGAGCTCGAAGAAAAATTCAGCAGCGTGACGGCAACAAGATGATCGCTGTTGAGGTGGTGGAGGTGATGGAGCTGCACCCTCTGTGGGCCAAGCTGTGAGCATCGAGGAAGGCGCGAGCTGCTGGAACGGTCTTGCCTGCAGAAGTGACAGCTCCTCGTGTTACGTAGACCCAATATTCCTTTCGAACTACACTTCGCAGCAGTCTCCTTTCCAAATCTACCAAATTGTGTCCTCTGCGTCGTGAGATGACCCGAGCCAGCTCAGCTAGCAACACTGCCCACATGCCACATGCCGAGGCTCCTGCGACTCGCACCTCCCACTCCATGCGGCAGAAATCGGAGCGCACGACACAATGCGCGGCAGCCATACCCACGCGGGCAAACCAACATTGAGCTATGTGAAGATTGAGCTCGCTCTGGTTGGCAGCCAATAATGCTCTCCAGACACTCGTTTCCGGTAGCCCGCATGCTCGTGAGAGGGGATGCGGACGCAGGGCAGCGGAACCACACATAAGTACAGTACGCATCGCCCGCTGTCGAGCTGCTGGATGCTGGCAATTCGCCCGGCTGGCCTCGCCAATTGCCGCGCTCACTGCACCACAGCTGGCTGTTGATGTCGTACAGATATATGTCAGGCACGCCCCTCCCCCGCCAACAGACCCCACGCAGCTGGCGCGTGTGATGTCAATCCACGCGACACTGCACGACCAATAGTGCTCGACACGGCACTTCCTGCAGGCAATGCCAGGCCATCCCGCAGGCGTCCGCAGGCGTCCGCAGGCGGTTCTTCTACGCCCGCGCTCTTTATGCGCGCGCTGGGTACGACCTGAGCCGTTCGCCCGACACCTCACCTGCTGCTTGCGGACGCGGCCGCCGCGCAGACTCGGCATTCTACGGCGGCTTAAAAGGCTGTATGGCGCCGTGAAAACCAGGGGAGGCCAGACGTCTGCGAACCTCGGGAGAGCTTTGACCCGCATCTTGCTCCACTGGCAGCTCCCCACCTATCTTCCGCCTATCATTCCGAGCATCGCAGGGTGGAAAGACGCTACCGCGGCCGGCAAGCGCAGGACGACTCTTTGGCGATTCTCGTCGAGACTCTCCCACCGAGGTTATAGATACTAGCTACCACCGCCATCCGCCATGAGGCTCACTTCTTCAGCCTCTGCTGTTCTCCGCACCGCGACTAACCCCGCCCGCCTCTCATCCCGCTGCTTTGCGACTCGTGCTATTGCGACCCAGACTACTGCGAAATCGGCTCTGTTCTCGAACGCACGACGAACCACCACAGGCTCTTCCGCACCATCTGCAGCCCTCCTCCCCTCCCAGCAGTTCAGCCAGCAGCTCAGGATGGCGTCCTCTACTCCCATCAAGAAGATCAAGGTGGTGAACCCGGTGGTCGAGCTCGATGGTGACGAGATGACTCGCATCATCTGGCAGACCATTAAGGACAAGTTCATCCACCCCTACCTCGACATTGACCTCAAGTACTACGACCTTGGTCTTGAGTACCGTGACGAGACCAACGACCAAGTCACACTCGATGCCGCTGAGGCCATTAAGAAGTACTCGGTCGGTGTCAAGTGCGCGACCATCACCCCCGACGAGCAGCGTGTCGAGGAGTTCAAGCTGAAGAAGATGTGGCTGTCGCCGAACGGCACCATCCGCAACCACCTGTAAGCTTCACCACGTCACCTGCCGGAGATTAGGCTAACTCGACCCAGTGGAGGAACTGTCTTCCGCGCGCCCATTGTCATTCCCCGCGTCCCCCGTCTTGTACCCAGCTGGAAGCAGCCCATCATCATCGGCCGTCACGCCTTCGGTGACCAGTACCGCGCCAAGGACCGTGTCATTGACGGCGAGGGCACTCTCGAGATGGTCTTCACCCCCAAGGGCGGCGAGCCCCAGACCATCAAGGTCTACGACTTCCCCGCTGGCGGAGGTGTCGCCCAGACCCAGTACAACACCACCGAGTCCATTTCCGGGTTCGCACACGCCTCCATGAAGCTCGCGCTCGACAAGAAGCTGCCCCTGTACATGAGCACCAAGAACACCATCCTGAAGGCCTACGACGGCAAGTTCAAGGACACCTTCCAGGAGATCTACGAGTCCACATACAAGAAGGACTTCGATGCTGCTGGTATCTGGTATGAGCACCGTCTGATCGACGACATGGTCGCCCAGATGATCAAGAGCGAGGGTGGATACATCATCGCCATGAAAAGTACGTCTTCTGATCCTGATCTTTGTGCGACATCTGCTAACACACGCCAGACTACGATGGTGACGTCCAGTCTGACATTGTCGCCCAGGGTTTCGGCTCTCTCGGCCTCATGACCTCCGTCCTCATCACCCCCGACGGCAAGACCTTCGAGGCTGAGGCTGCCCACGGCACCGTCACTCGCCACTACCGCGAGCACCAGAAGGGTAACGAGACATCCACCAACCCCATCGCCTCTATCTACGCCTGGACACAAGGTCTCTCCAAACGTGGTGAGCTCGACAACACCCCCGAACTCGTCGTCTTCGCGGAGCAGCTCGAGAAGGCCTGCGTTGATACCGTCGATGTCGATGGCATCATGACCAAGGATCTTGCCCTTGCGTGCGGCAAGAAGGACAGGGGCAGCTGGGTCACAACGAACGAGTACCTCGATGCCGTTGAGAGGAGGCTGAAGACCAGCTTGAAGGAGAAGTTGTAAAGCAAGCGTGCATAAAAGGATAAATAGCATGTTGAGCGACATTTGAACTAGCTGGTAGATATCGGCATACCTAGATCCCTGTAGATGGAGTTTTGGCTTACTCTGTCCAGGGAAGCAGCATGAATACATCGAAATAAAAACACTCACAATCATTAGCCTACATCGGACTGCATCTACTATCTCTCAAACTGCATCTTGGATCTGGACGCAGATGTTCGAGTCGTACCTGTTTCCATCGGAGCCGACATCATCCGCCTTCGTTAACGCTTCCACACGGCCGCAAAAATAGGACCGATCCGTCACAGCATGAAGCTTTGACTGTGATCTATGCGATCACAGCAACTGCACGACTTTCAGCACGACGCGCTCCGTCGGGTCGTACAGCTGTACCTGCCCTTTGCGCCCCGCGATGTCTTCCAAAGCGCCGACAGTAGATGTACAAGACGCCGGGAACTACGCAATATTTGATTGGTTTCGCACGTCATTGCAATGTTCGAGGGTGCTCACTTGTTGCCACAATTGCTGCATCTTCTCGATTTCTTAATGTTTCCCCATGCTCGTGCATCGGCTGTCGCTATGTCTCACAGCAGCACGCTTGCAAGCATGGCAAGACATGGTAATTGCGGTTTGTTTGTTACACATGTTGTTTCGGAAACCTGTGTGAAGCTCTCTTCTCTGTCCTCTCTCTACCAAACTCTTCGAACCTTGACTCTTCAGTATTTATCGGTTCTTGCATTGGTGGTCTCGCTCTGCTCAACCTCTACTTTTTGTTTGTCCACTGTTTTGAACCCTGAGGACATCACCACACAACACCCGTACCGCTCCATCTATGCAGGGTCCACGTTGCTCAACATAACATCGAAACAAACAGTCTTTGTCCCCAAGCTGCGAAGCCGCCTCCCATCCTTTTATTCGAAATTTAACAATAACTTAGCGGAAAAGTAAGTCGTCTGTTCATTCCACACGGAGATTACTTTGACCGTGCAATCTCCACACCTCCCACCAATACGTCCAATACTCAAGGTATCCCGGTTTCCATTTACCGACTCCACTTATCACTACCGCCCAAGTGGATAGAATACAGGGAATCACATGGCCGTTTCTTTCACTGACACGTCGCGCAGCTGCCAAGGATGACCCTGCCTACTTGCGCAGGCAGACCATCCGGTCCAAGGCCTGACGGGAACGAGCGCGGCATCGAGGATCAAACCCATCTCGTCACTATCGCGCCGCGGAAAAACACCGCTCAGACGCAAACAACAATACCCACCACGCCAAAGAGCAATGCCAATACGCCGCTGCACAAGCGATTCTTGGAAGAGGTCATGATGAGCCCGGGTCCACCGCCGCGAACGCCGCCGCGGACGCCGAGTCGTAGCCCGAAGAGACCAGGGAATGAGAGGTTGGAGGTCGGACAGAATGGGTTCTATTTCTCAATGGAGATCCCGGAGAGGAAGATTGTGGCAAGTAGGGCAGCGAGCAGGGCAGCGACGCCTGATGCAAAGCCGTCTGGCAGACTTACGCCCAGTCCCGAGAAGCGGGGTGGTAGATTGACGCCCGGAAGACTGTCGCCAAGTCCTCGGAAAGAGATGAAGAGTGAGATGAAGGGCACGCCAAGTGGCGGAGGAAGAGTTAGGGATATCTTGAGGAAGAACCTTTTCGGGACGCCAACAAAGAAGGCGACAAACCCAGGATGGGGTGAAAGAGGAAATAGTGATATCAGCCCGTCAAAAGATGGAGGATACCAGTCGCAGATGAGTGTTGGCAGCCGAAGTGAAAGCCCCATCAAGAACGCTACGACCGGACACGCTACCACGCCTTCTGTGTCTCGGGAAGCAGACTCGTCCGAACATTCTGCGCTCTCACAGCCAGCACTGCAGACCACAGATATGCCACCGGAACATCATACTCCTAAGACGACGCCTCTCACGCCTGCGCCCGCACCTCCATTCAATTTGAGGCAGGCGCCCACCGCTTTCACGCCGTCCAATATCGGCCAATTGATGGCAAACCACAGCAACAAGAGCGCCAAGGTCCAGACCCCGCCAACTACTGGCGGAATCGAGTCGATGCCCACGCCGCTGCGTAAGATGTCTGAGAGACTTGGGCTGAAGAGTCCTCACGTCGTACGCAAGGGAAAGAACGACAAGCACGAATCTAAAGACTTAGTTGCGGTGCCGACAGCGGGCACACTGGTCTCGCCGATCTCGACACTAGCCATCAACGATGTTGCCCCAGTGCAGGCACACTCGTCGATGAGCACTCCAGGCGACAAGACGTCTGCGAGTACTACACCTATGGCATCAGTCCGAGGCTACGAGGTCCGCAAAGAGAACCGTCTCATCCAGCTTCTCCCTTCTCCGATCACAGTTCCTTCAACTACGGTTTCCTCGGGAACGAGCACCGCGACGACTCCGTCCTACCTATCTCCCATGACACCCTCCCGACTGGGCCTATCAAGTAGGTCAAAGAGCTTTGGCACACCTGCCCATCTTCGGTCTTCAATGCAGGAAGATATGTTCAAGGTGCAAGAGTCTTTGAAGCGATCTCTCGGTCAAGAAGCCTTCCAGAAGACTGTCTCAAGGCCCACGACACCGAAGTCGCCCAGTGCAGCGGCATCCAGACCCAGTACCTCCGCCACGGATCGAAGTACAAGCACTGTCAACAGAGTCACGAGGCCTCTCTCCATGGTCGGTTATCCCAAGCCAAACGCAACGGGCACCACACAGGCTCTGCCGCGTAGAACGCTCGACACCGCGGTACGCAAGCCACGACCTAAGTCCATGGTCGTAGGCTCAGCGAAGGTCCTCGAGGCTATAGCCTCGCAGATAGACTCACCACGCGAGCGTGCAAAGCTGCGCAGCACCGCCGCCGCACCTCCTATCCAGAAAAACAAAGCTATGGCTTTGCGCCCAGGCACGGCTTCGTGGACGCCGCGAGGATTCAGCCAGGCTGTCACTACGCGGAAGCCAGTGGAAACGCAGCCCGCAGTCCGTACAACAAAGCCACCGGCTGCACGCACCGCCGTACAGCCTAAACGCGTAGCGCTCTCTACGCCTGAAGCTGCATCAGGCCCAGCGAAGCAGAGAGTCGTAAGCGCCAAGGTTATCGCAGACCGCGTCGCAGCATGGAACAAGGAAGATAGCCAGCAGACCGCACCAAAGCCAGCGGCCAAACTGCCCGTACGCAGCAAATCCGTCAAGACACTGAGCAAACCCGCTATCAAACCTGTTTTCAGACCCGCTCCTTCATATACCGTCGAGCGCGTGAGCACACCCGAGCCCAAAGATCCAAAGTTCGACTCTGGCACCGCACAGTCCTTCACACCTCCCGGCCTCCCCACACAGCTGCCCATGAGCCCCAGCAAGAAACGCCTAGTCGCTCCAACCACACCTGCTCCATCACGCACAGCAAGCAAGGACGCACGCAAACAGAAGCTCCAGAATGCACACCGGAACGCGCCTCCACCGTCAGCGACGGCACAGTTTCGCACGCCCGTCGCTGCGAGAACGCCCGTTCGGACTCCGGCGAATAATCGACATACGGGGGTCGGTGGTCTAGACGAGGATCCTAATAGATTCAGGACGCCGAGTAGGGAGGTGCAGAGTAGGCTTGATGAGGCGATTAATCGGAAGATTTCAGATGATCGGAGGAGGGCCGGGTGGATTTAGGGTGTGCGATGAGGGGAAAGGGGCTTGGATAGTAAAATTGTCAGATGGATAGGGATTCATGTTGATGGACGATTGTGTTTGATAATGATGTTACGAATGAACGACAGTAGTTGGTATGCAGATTGAAAGGTGGATGTTGCGCAACCGAGGCATCACCATTCAGGAGGATCCAGTCGAGATAGATAAGATGGTCTATTCCACGCATACTTTCGCTCGCCTCCCTTAGCAGACTACTGAGCTCGTCAAGTCTCTGTCACCACCTCGGCACCAACCTCCCCATCCCCGCCCTCACCCTTCGGCCTCACAAGCTGCCCATTCCTATCCCTCGCCCACCCACACTCCACACCATCCCTATAACACGGCTGACACCTGCTCCCATCACCGAGTTGCTTACACTGCCTCTCACTCCACCCCCTTCTCTCGCACTTCGGACAAACCACCAGATCCCGCTCAACCTTCGCCTTGAACCGCTCATCGTCCAAGACCCGATAATCCTTGCCATTGAACGTATAATAGTCATCGGAACTATACAGCATTCTCTCAACCGGCAGCTGCTCGCCGTACATATATGGCGGGATGAACGCCGTACCGCCGGGGAACGCATCGCGCGACACCAGGAAGCGGCCCTTATGCTCGTGTAGGATGTCTGCGATGCGGTAGATCAGGGGCCGGCTGAGGAACAGGGTATTTATGAATTCGTCCGCGTTATCGACGTGGAACGCGGTGTGGTGGGAGTAGTGGATGTGGAATGTAAAGTCGTCGGGAACGCTGGAGGGGAAGCATTTTGTCATAAGTGAGGTGGTCGAGTGGAACACTGTGCGGGTTAGGATGTCAGGGAGTTGGGAGTAGTTGTTTGAGAGCGCGTTGTCGAGCATCTTCAGGTAAGAGAGGCGTGGGGGGAAGCCGTTGGCGCGCAGATAGTAGTATAAGTGTGATTCGAAGCCGATCTCGATGTGGCGGAGGGAGGTGAAGGAGCGGAGTTTTGCTGCACCGTCGGGGTCGGTCTCGCGGGCGACAGAATAGGGAATAGAGCCGCCGATGTGGGTTAGCTTCTCAAGCGACTCGGCTTGTTGCTGGAGGGCTGGGAGGAAGTGTTTCGAGGCTGTGCGTTCTGCAACGTTCATCGATGGGCGTGCCCCTTCGAAAACGTGTAGTCGTTCGCCAATGGACAGTTCTTTGAGAGCCTTTGGCAAGCTGAGGATGGTATGAAGTGTGTCCAAATCGATGTTACATTCGATGAATGTCAATGAACGGAGAGGCGTGGACTTGCGTTCTTTGCCGAAAGATTCAATTGTTGATTCCATATCCTGGTTCTTAATGTTCAAACAAGAAATAGTGAGATCCCGGAGAGTTGGGTGGTAGAAGACCGAAGCTAGACGATTGTCAAACAGAAATTTTCTGTCATCTGCTCCATGCGCATGCAAGGTGACTATTCACTGTCAGCATGAGAGTGGACCTCATACGTGAAGAGTTACCTACAGGATTGTAGCACGGGCAACGCAACCGGCAATTCTTCCCGCGGGAATGCTGCACTTGCTAACAAATTCCAGAAGTCAATCTTTGACCACCCATCAAAGAGGACTTGATGAATCCATTCCGAATTGTTCGGACAAGGGGTTTCAAGAGTAAAGTGGCGTAGTCTCGACATCAGCGTCAACCAATGATTGAGCATCTCAACACCATCTTTGTGGGGATCTTTGTATCGAATCGAGAGCTCTTGAATGAAGTCGACTCGCTGGTCGCGCTGATCTAAAGCTGTAGCAATGTCGCGTGCATGTGTTCCGCTTAGCACCAACAGGGAGCGCCAGATATATGGTTCTGCCAAACCCTGGAGGCGTGTACACGTCGCGGCAAAGCTACGAAGGTCTCTACGGCACGTGATGTGGTCGAGAACATTGAGAAGCAACTCGTCCACAAGGCGTAATAATCCGGTATCGGCAAGAGCAAGCATGGTGGCACCGGGCTCTTGGCGCTCCATCCTGAAATCCCGTCCTGAGTGGCGTGTCTTCCGCTTTTTAGCACCGGGGCTTAGCATACAGCGTTGTTCGTTATGATGGAGCGACAGTCGTACCAACGAAAGTCGTTGCTGGATGTGCTGTGTACCTCCAGGTTACGGACGATGAAGAGATGCAACGAGGCGAGGTGAAGCTAGGCCGCAACCGACTAGCCCTCATGCTTACGTCACAGGCAATTGATTCTGGAAAGAACGCGTCTTGCATTTTGCGACTACCAACATTGTTGAGCATCGTCTGCATTACTAACTGTTTCTACTTCCACTCTGATAACACGTGTTTCATCCTAAGCCGTGTATAAGAACCTCGGGTTATGCTCTCCTAGCTCTGCGATCTCTTCCTCAGACAGCCCCTCCATCCTCCAGTCCTCCTTCCCCTCAAGCTTGCTCTTGTTCTGCTTACGGTACCAGAAGTGCAGTGCAGTATATATGCCAACACCGAGGGCGAGCAACGCTATAGTCGCACCGTACCCCGGGTAGTAAGTCGGCCTATCTGCGTTGCTGAACAGGAACGGCGCCGAAACTCCCGCGGCGTTCCCAATGGTAATCTGCATGCCGCTTGCGAACGCTCGTTTACCGTAGCGAGGATTGTTCACACCAATCCATGTCATGGCGGTACCTGTCGATGTCCAAAGTCCCATGGCCACGATGAAGCAGCCAGCAAAGCTGAGGGCTGTACCCTGGTTTGCGATGAGGAAGATGTATCCCACCATGCAGGTCATGAAGCCGCCCACACAAAAAATGCCTCGTTGTTGGATCTTGTCGCTGTAGAATGCACTGCCGATATAGACGAAGAAGCCGAGGAAGTAAACGGGCATTGTGAGCGCCTGAACGACTTGCCGGCTCCAGCCAGCGCCCATCTCGAAGATGATGGTGGGAAGGAAGACCGAGAAGCTGTATAGCATACCAAGACCGCTGAATTGTGCAATGGAAAAAGCCCAAGTCTTCCAGTCTTTAGCAGCTTCCTTCACATCATCCTTGTGGAGCAGTTGTGCGGCTTTTGTTTGGCCGACCTCAAGCTCTCGGAGGAGCACAAGGTTGCGACGGTCTTCCTCAGTTAAGAAGCTAGCAGTCTCGGGACTGTTCGGAAGCACGAAGGGCACGACCAGGGCTGTCAAGACCGTGGGGATGCCGTTGATAACGATGATCCATCTCCAACCGCTAAAACATTGTTAGCAGGCGCCCTGAAGCATTCAGTGTTTAGATGCTTACTTCCAACCACCAGCACCGTCTAGCTCACCGATCGCATACGCGACGAGGCCACCGAGAGCACCAGCAATGGCACTGGTTCCATAGAAGTACGCATTGCGTAACGACACATTCTTCTTGTTGTAGAACATTGAGAGGTAGAGTATGACACCAGGGAAAAGCCCGGCTTCAAACACACCCAGGAGGAGTCGACAAGCCACAAGCGCAGCGAAATTGTTGCAGAAAGCGGTGAATGTGGCTACAAGACCCCAGAAGAAGACTAGCCCAGCCAAGTAGCGGGCTGGCTGCATTTTCTTGATGATCATGTTGGATGGCGTCTCAAACAACTGGTCCATCGTTAGCTGTGACACGTGTGTTCATCAGTATATTGATACTTACACAATATGTAACGAAGAGGATTCCGACAGCAAGTTGGTAATCGTTACCCACCATGCCTAGATCTTCCTCGAGACCGTACAAACGGGCATTACCAATGTTGACTGTTCGTGTTAGCCCATGCGCCGATTTGTGCTAAGCGCCACACATACCACGATCCATGAAATTCATTAGGTAAATCCAGCAGATCATGGGGATGATACGGATGTCGAGCTTCCTCAAAAGTCGCTTCTCAGTCTCTGCGTCCACGGCAATGCAGGTTCCCGCATTTGCGACTTGCTCGATCTTCTCGGGGACCGAAGGGTCAGACCCCGACCTCATCTTGTCGATTTTATCAGGCGTACTCTCCCCGGAGTAGTCGTTCTCACTATTCATGGCGTTGGGTATGTCGATTTGTCAAGAAGGTGCTGAGTTGATCGAGGTCAAATAAGAGCAAAGACCACCTTCTTGAAGTCGAGAGCGGTGCATGCACCCCCTAATCTTATAGGCAGGTCTCCACATTCTAGATGCTATGCCCCACGGGGTAACGAAGCTGTGCCACGGTGCCAGGAGATCCTGAAGACTTGTCATTGACGTTAGTAGCCCAAAAAGTCTATCTTGACCGCGTATCGTCAAAATTGGCGCGCTGGGGGCCCACTTCCGTCATCCTTACGACCGCTTCCGAAGACAGCACAGCTGGCATGTTCGTAGTTGTGGATCGATCTCATTTGTTGATATCAGTGGCTGAAGCGTTCGTGATAGTAATCGTACACTGGAGTCTCAAGCCGAGATACCTGTGTGCGTTCAAATAGCAGGCAAGAGCTCGTCCTGGAACCATTGTTTTGGAAAGCTGCGTTCATCTGCAGAGATCATCGCTCCACTCACTGTTGGAAATTCCCTAACTCAATCCCAGACGTGCTTGCCAAACTGTTCTTGGCCGGTAAAGGTGAGCGTCATCTTGCAACAGGGACGGACCCGAGAAGAGGGGCCGACGGTCTGATGCACAACGAGCGCATGCTTCGGTGCCATGAGAAAGGCTGGACTCCAAGGTCTTGACCATACGCCCTGGCGCAGTCATATACAGCTGTGTCAGCAACTCCGCATGTGGTTGTGGAAGTTATAGAGGACCAAGATTCTTAGCCTGCACAATGCACTTGGCCACTGAGCCGAGTAGCCGAGACCTTTGATAGGACCAACGAAACAAAGCAGGCATTTTGCTGCAGTGAATGTGAGTGAGATTAACAATTCGTGTGATACCTAGGCTGTACTCTTGTATGCTGCCGGCAGCTCAAACGTGGCGCGGTGTTCGGGACGTGGAACAGCTTCGCAGGACTGGTAGTCAAGTCGGACCATGTGCCGATGCATATTCGGTGGCCCGAAGTCTTTGTCTTCCTCTGACACTTCAGCCGCAGCCCTGGAGAGGATGAAATGAAGCCGTCGTTTCCGCGTCAGCCACCTGTGGCGTGCTGACAGCTGCTAGCAACTGGCACGCCGCCAGCCTTGGAGCCTTCGAAAGATACCCACCTGGTGCTGGGCGATAATAACGGTGGACCGGGGTGGGTAACTATTGAGTACGCTAGAGAAGGTCAAGTGATATGAGTGGGACGGACAGAAGGGTGCTAAGAAGTCCTGCTTTTGACGGGGTAATAATGCTTCGAGTCGATTCGCAATGCCCAACACACGAAATCATCTTCCAGTACATGCCTACGTGCTGCGCTTCGCTTCGGGGCTTCCACGACGATTCTTTCAGCAGTGGCACTCTCGATGTGTTCCGCGGTGCCCTTACTCAGCTCGGCGTTCTCGATGTGATTTGCGTGTCCGAAGATCGTGTCGTCCCTCGAAACTGATGTTCTTTTCATTGACGAGGATCAAACATCAGCAACCGGTACGACGCCGATCGCACCCAACGTATGCATGTCGTAAAACTCATTGTTAGCCAGACATGAACGCTTGCTGCAGGCAGACATTGGCGACGTTTAGAAACTGCGATGATACGACGATAGCCTGATGGACGTTCATTGGGTCGATCTCCTCGGGTCCAGATCCAAATTGTAGCACTCTACGATGGCGTGAAAGAAAAAGCGAAAAGGAATATCAGTAGAGCCGGAGCAATGCCGACGATTTTTGGCGCCCAGGCTTGTAGGAGTCTCTGTGACTATGGCAGCTGCTGTGTTTATGCATGCACATGCGGCCATGCTGACAGCACCGACAAGGAACGAGAAGCGGCGACCAAATCTATCAACCGTTCAGGTCGCATTCAAGGGGAAGATAATACCAGACGTGCCGTTCAGTGCATTGATGAGCTGGATGGTATCGTTTTCAGTGAGCATGAACTGATGTTTACATGTGGAGTAGTTGTGAGCGATCCCTGGCCTGTCAATTGCTGACCGATATTGATCGAGATACAGAGCACTGCGATGGTGAGCATATCGACTGACAGCCATGACCACATACTTACGCAGTTGTTTCTTGACCGACTTGTCCTTTCAAAGAGCTGGGCAGAAAGAGCTGGGCCGCCGGAAACGATTTCATCTTTCCAAGGTCGCAAAGCTCGAGAGATGTCACCGATCTCGTGAGGCAGGGCTTTGATAGCAGCTTCTGATCGATTGTGCTTATGAGCGCCAGTGCGACCAGCGACAGCTACGGCAAACAGAAGATGATCTTGCATTTTCACCCTTGCATTGCAAGGAAGAAGGCCACTGCTTTGCTTCACTGAACGGCGGGAGATGGCAAGGGTAAGAGGATGCTGAACGCAAATGGAGATAAAGCCTTCACAGTGAGCGGATTTCATCAACGTCCGTGAAGGGCTCCGTAGCCTAATGACATTCCGAATTGACGAGAGATCGCAGTCACCGGTGATAGAGCCTGCATGCTCGCGATGGCAGGGGCAGACTACCAGATTATATAGGATGTAAGAAAGGTAACTCCTCCTTTCTACGGGCGTTGCATCCGCAGTCTCGGAACTCGGGCGCGTTCGAGTCCCATATGGACATGCAAGGGGCACAATGGGGTTGCTGCATCCACATGTTCGTCCGCTTCCGTTTGCGCTAGCCAGCCCAGCCGAGGTAAGTGGATGTGGAGTGGGGCTTTCCCCTGTCAAGCGCATCAGGGACATCGAAAGCTCATAAGGTTCTGGACCCCACACAAAGTCAGTCTATCGCCAGTCAACTTCTGCCACTTTACTGTATTGCTGTCAATCTAGCAAGATGGCGTCAAATATCCCTTCCTTCGAACACACGTCCATGGACAGCATTGCGCCGACATGCGCAGGCGTCCGAAAAGCCTTTCTCTCGCACAAGACCCGCTCGCTCGAGTACCGTAAGCAGCAGCTGCGCAAGCTATACTGGGCGTTCAAGGACAATTCAGGTCTCATTGAAGAGGCGTGCAAAAAGGATCTCGGCAAGTCGCAGTTTGAGACGTACCTGACCGAGATCTCATGGGTCATGAACGACTGCGTCTGGATGGCAAACAACGTCGACCGTTTCGCACAGGATGAGAAGCCCGCAGATATTGCCTTCACTAATAAATTCATGGGCCCTAGGATCCGCAAGGACCCTCTTGGCGCTGTCCTGATCATTGGCGCATACAACTTCCCCATCCAGCTCACGATTGGGCCGCTCATTGGAGCCATCGCAGCTGGCTGTACTGCTGTGATCAAGCCCTCCGAGTCGGCGCCATATGCAGCAATGGTCATGCAAAAGATCTTGGCTGAGTCGCTGGACCCTGACTGCTACTCCTGTATACAGGGTGCTATCCCGGAGACAACGGCACTGCTCGACGAGAAGTGGGACAAGATCTTCTACACAGGATCAGAGACAGTGGCGAAGATCATCGCAAAGAAGGCGGCGGAGACCCTCACACCGCTGACCCTCGAACTCGGCGGTAGGAACCCCGCCATTATCACCAAGCATGCAGACCCCAAGCTGGCCGCAAAGCGTCTGTTGTGGGCGAAGACGATGAACGCCGGCCAGGTCTGCGTAAGCCAGAACTGTACATTCATCGACCGCGAGCTTGTTCCGGCATTCATCCAGGCGATGAAAGACACATTGAAGGAGTTCTACCCCAACGGTGCCCGCAACTCGCCAGACTACGGCCGTGTCGTCAACCAGAAGCAGTTCCAGCGCCTCAAGAAAATGCTGGACTCCAGCAATGGCAAGATCGTCGTGGGAGGCACCATGGATGAGGACGACCTGTTTATTGAGCCTACCGTCGTCCAGGTCGACAGCGTAGACGACTCCCTTCTCCGCGACGAAAGCTTCGGTCCTCTCCTTCCCTTTCTACCCGTTACCGATCTCGACGAAGCCATCAAGTTCGCTAACGAGGTACACGACACCCCTCTCGGCACATACGCCTTCGGCACAAAGGCAGAGATGCACAAGAGTAGGCTCCATCTCTCTACGCACAGTAACTTTGCTTGCTAACAGTCGCAGTCCTCGACCAGACACGCTCCGGCGGCGCCTCCCTCAACGACGGTTTCTACCACGCCGCCATTCCCACACTCGCTTTCGGCGGTGTTGGTTCCTCTGGCCAGGGCGCTTACCGCGGCAAAGCCTCCTTCGATACCTTCACGCATCGCCGCAGTGTGACCACGACTCCAGCGTGGATCGAGAGCCTGATGGATGTCAGGTATCCCCCATACACAAGCGCGAAGCTCAAGAAGTTCTCCGGTATGAACGAGGTGAAGCCAAACTTCGACCGCAATGGACGCGCGATTGGGTGGGGTGGCTGGTTTTTGGGACTGGTCGGGTTGAAGGGGCTGGCTGTGCTTATCGGTAAGTAAAATCCGTCGTATGGTTCTCATTTGTACAGAAGAAGAGGATTAGAGGAAGACACGCGGCCTTGAGATCGAAGATAGACTAACAGTTTGCAGCCGCCATCGGCGTCAGGGCGTACATGCAGCGTCGCGCGAAGTTGTAGGCAAGAAATATACCTTGCTGTACGATAATCTACCACGATATTATATATACCCCAAATCGCTCACTCTATGCAATTCTTCGTCAATCATTCCAAACCGAACAATATTACAATGACGCAGGCAAATCTGATGCTATTTCACGACTGCGAGCTTTGCGTATGCTGCTTGCTTAACCACAACCACTTCAACAACCGTGAACAACAGCCACCTCCTTTGACCGATTGACCTCAACCAAACTCACAACATCTAACAAAAATGGCCCTCACAAGTCAAATACGCCCATTACCATCCTGAAACGGGCTTCACCGCACTTCACCTCAATATCCAGAACCGATGTCATCGTACGAACCCTACCTGCACCACTACGCCCCGGGCTCCCACAGTACACACCACCTCTACTACGGCGACTGCTACTACTCCGATCACTCGCGCACTTCATCTCCACATACATTACCGCCCGGCGGTCTTCCATCATACGCAGGCCCTCCACGCGGTTCACGCAGCAGACGACCGGCCTCCCCTCAACGTGACCCTGGTCCCAGACTAGACGACAGCAGAGAGTACCAGTTTAGACAGCGTAGGCGTATTGTCGAGTACCGTACGCCCAGCCGCTACCCTGTCTTTGGTGATCATCTCGCACAGCCTGGCGAGCGTCGCGATGGGCGGGGAGTTGCGTTGCCACAATGGTTTTGGGATGCTGGGCTAGGTGAAGGCAGGAGGAGAGCGGGTTCAACAGCGAACAGGGTGCATGAAGATATGGCAAGGGAGACTGAAGAGAGCAGACGCCGTGGTGGTGAGCGGTTTGATCAAGCGAGGTGTAGAAGCACGAGCAGCAGAGCTCATGAGAGCTATGGGCGCTACACTAAGGGCTACAGCGAGGGTGTTGATCACGGGTACGGACTTCAGTATCAGCACTATGGTGAGGATGAAGAGAGTCATCCGTGGTATGTCAGCGAGACGGATACTGAGACCGACACGTGTGTAGGGCCTATGAGTTGCTTGAGGCTTGGCGAGATGATTAGAGGGGACAGAGGCCGATGTCAGAACGTCAGGTTTCAGATGGAAGACGACACGAGAAGTGAGTCTTCCAGCGAGAGGACTAGCAATGGTGAAGAGTGGCAGACGACCGCCTCAAGGAAGTATACCAAAGTTGGCGCGCTGCGGAGATTCGTGGAGAGGAATGTGCGGTCCAGGGACAAAAAAGGCGAATACTTCCGTCTGAAGAATGGACAGAAAGCCTGGGTCCAGCCAAAGAAGAGCAAGGGCAAAAAGGTGCGGAGGTACAAAGGTCTTGGGGCTTGAAGTGAGGTAAACGATGTAAGTGGCGGGACGTGGAGTGGGTGCTTAAATGTAAGAAGAGGCGTGAGAGACAGGTCCGGTGCTTTTAGGTAGACTACGCAAAGTCGCAAATTGTAACAATCACTCGTTGTCACCTCCCGTCGCCCCGACGAGTTCGCGAGGATCGTCCACGATCACGCTATACCGGTATACATAGGTAACTAACCCAATCAATCGTGCCTCGGCTCGACCCCAGCTTTCGATTTGGAATAACGACCACAATCGCACTGGACCGAGACAGCGCCTAAGATTTTCGCTTGTTGTCCATTCTTCTTCTCTTCAAACATATACCTGAATATCATGGATAACTCAAGCCTCTTCGATGTCAAGGTAATAATCACTTGTATTAATACTGGGTTTCTCGCTGACAGACAGTAGGGCAAGGTCGTGCTTGTCACAGGCGGAGCCAAGGGCATTGGCCGCATGATTAGCGAAGGTTTCGTTCAGAACGGCGCACATGTATACATCTCCTCTCGCGACGTAAAGGCCTGCGAGCAAGCATGCGAAGAGCTCAATGCGCTCGGCAAGGGCAAGGCAGACTTCATCGCCGCCGATCTGTACAAGGAGGAGGACATCACCAGGATCGCAGATGAGTTGAAGAAAAGGGCAGGAAGTATGTTGATTGCAATCTGTAAAGGTAAGAAGATGGCTGACACAACGCAGAGCTCGACGTTCTCGTGAACAACAGTGGCAGCAACTGGGGCGAGTCCTACGACACCTACCCATCCGCCGCCTGGGATCGCGTCCTCACACTCAATCTGAAGCGCGTTTTCCAGCTCACACAAGCTGTCACCCCACTTCTCGAAGCCGCACAATCCTCCATCTCGCCCTCAAGAGTCATCAATATCGGTTCCGTCGACGGGCTTCGTGTCCCTGCGCTCGAGACCTTCGCATACTCCGCCTCGAAGGCGGGTCTGCACCACATGAGCCGCGTTCTCGCGAGCCACCTCGGCAAGAGGGGTATCACAAGCAACACCATTGCATGTGGACCTTTCCAGAGCAAGATGATGAAGGCAACACTTGAGAAGTTTCAGGACGTCATAGAGAGTGGTATTCCGCTGGGACGTATTGGAAGCCCAGAGGACGTCGCAGGAACATGTATCTGGCTGAGCTCAAGAGCCGGGTCGTATGTTAATGGTGCGACAATCGCGCTGGATGGTGGTAGTGTTGTAGGTGCGAAGCTGTAAACTTCCAAGCTGATGTTAGTCTGTAGCCACCTGCTTTTTCGATAGCCAGTCTTTCAACTGAGCATAAAGAGGCGGATAATATCGTGGCCTGCTTTCAGCCTTGCACATCCTTACACACGGCAATTTTCATGAACATTTTTCCAACATCTTGCTCTGTTCTAAGTGGCTCGCTTATGATATATCCCAGGCTGTTCAACAGTTCTGAAACATCTATGGCATAAGCACTAGACCCCCTGTCCCAATGAGGCTGACAGATTTAGCGCGCTGCTTAATTACATGTATTCAGGCACCGCATGTCTTGATCGCTGGGTCTTACAACATCCTTGACGTCAGAGCTGCGTGGGAAACAGCATCATCATCCGGTGCAATGTCGGACCAGACGCTCAGCGAGAGTTGGAGCACATACCTTGCGGTACTCCAGCCACTTACTACCGCAGCTTTAGCGATCATCTTCGACTGGGCAGCAAGCCACCGAGGACTCGAATACACATTGGTCAGTAAGGCGTCAGTGACGGAGAAGCTGAAGATATCGTTGGCGCCCCTGCGTCATGGAGGAAAGGGCGTACTGGCTGCGATAGCTCTGTTGCTCATCGTGGCAACACAAACACCTTAACCCGGTTCTAACCGTTCCTGCCGGCAAGCCATTCACCAAAGAGGTTCGAGTCAGCGACGCCAACACTATGAGGGCCTTCGAGGTTGAGACAGGGACGCCGTGCGAAGTCATCCTCCGACGGTTTGACGTACAAAATGCCACTTGTGACGAGCAACAGACGAAACAGCCTGAAGACTACTGGGTCTACGTGGAAGTGACGAACGAGGCGGAAACGAACGGATCCCGGTACAGAGTCATCGACCAGATGGGTGTAGACAACAATCAGACCCGAGGCTACAATGCCTCAATAAGAACAGGCGAATGGTACTTGCCCGACTACATGGGCTCAGCACTGATTTTCTTACCACAAAACTTGTCTCAAGCACGTATGACGAGTCTCGACCTTGACGTCGACTACTGTATGAGTAAAGGGACCGTTGGATCCCTGAAAGACGGAACGGATACCAAACAACAACGACAGTGAGTCAGAATTCAACGGCTGCCAGGCGCAACTGTTCCATAGGTCATGGTCACTTGATGACAACTGCAAATTTGATCACAGCCGTCGTCTGTCAATTCAAACACCAGAGTTACCAAATTCACAAGAACATACAAAACACCTCAACAATATAACACAAAATGTCTTCTTCAGCAGCGACCATTCCAGATGTTCAAGGGGCTCGACGCCGTTGGGGCTCCACCGGCCTCTGCTCGACAGCGAGAGAGACAATGTTCGGCGAGCCCGTGTAGTCTGTGCTGTTTGCAAAGTCCACTAGGAAGTCTTCAATGTAGCCAGGGTACAGGATGCGTACAACATCCTCGCCAATACGCTCAGCAGCTCAGCAGCTCACAGCTTCTGAGTTTCTGGCCTCCTGACACCTTCTAGACAATTCGCCTTTTATTGCATCAGCGATAAGATGGCTGTTGCCGCCGTAGTCTGCTTGGCCGTACTCAGCGACAAGCTGGCCGATGATCTCGACGCCTTTTTAAGCGCAGTACTCGCTCGTTCCACGACGACTTGTGCTAGGTTGGAGCACTGCAGACCAGTCTGAAGATTGGGCGTGATTGCAATGAGCCCGTCCTCATTCTGCGCCCATACATATCTTACAGCGACACCTTTCTCGTTTACGCCACCATTGGTGAGTGGCGCAGGGAAGCTTTCGTAGTCGGAGTATTCCATGGAAAGATAACGGAAGGTGTGGGCAGCTTGAGAAATGTTCAGCCTTCGCCCAGGCATCAGTCGCAGCTCTGACTCCTCACTCATCCACAGCATCGCATAAACGGAATTACAGACCTCCGTTAACACCTAATGCTATGCATCTGTGACTCTTAACTTGCCATATTGCCATGACACCTTCCGCTTGTGGATGCGCACGCCTGAAGATGACGTGCTCAACGACGCGTCGTGGCTGGCGACGAAGGGTAAACTCTGAGGCACCAGTATTTGGCTTCTGGAGCGTCGGGATGCGGAATTACCACGAGTGAGTAAGCACTAGTGAAGTATAAATGATAGATAGGGTAAGCCTTGAGCAGGAGAGACAGCAAGATTTCCTATCTATCCATCTCTCTCAGTCAATAACCCTAATGGTTTCCAATCAATCCTCAGCTTCCACGTCCCGACAGAGAGTGCGAGAATTGCTTCCCACCGTCTACCTCGGACGTTACGAGCCTGGCTTAAAGAACAGCATAACAGATGTCGAAGGTGTATTGGTGTCAACGCAGTCCATCCATGAGTCGCCGAACTACCCAGATGCACCAGCTGGCGCCATCAATACCGGTGTCACTACGATTCTGCCCTGTAAAGACTGGTTCAACAAGGGTTGCTTTGCAGGTATCTTCCGATTCAACGGCTCAGGAGAGATGACGGGCTCGCACTGGATCGAAGAGTCAGGATTGCTGCATTCTCCGGTCGTGATTACCGGCAGCTTCGGTGTTGGGAACGCGTACAATGGTATCTACGAGCATGGGATACGGGAGCACGCAGATCAGTTGGGGAAGGTTGGCTGGTTCCTGCTACCAGTGGTCGCTGAGACATTCGATGGCTTCCTTCACGACGTGTCCAAGTTTGCTGTCACGTCTCAGCATGTGGTCAAGGGCATCGACGAGGCCAGCAGTGCTCCTGTGCAAGAAGGCAACACTGGTGGTGGCACAGGCATGATCTGCCACTGGTTCAAGGGCGGCACCGGATCCAGTAGTCGCCTAGTACCAGCAGATCAGGGGAAGACTTACACAATCGGCGCTCTCGTCCAAGCCAACTACGGTCCGATGAGAGACTTCAAGATATCTGGTGCCCCGATCGGTCGTCTAATTTTTGAGGAGCAGCAGTGCCTGGCTGAGGAGGACCCCACCAATCCAGGATTGCTGGCGCAGGCAAAAATGCTGTTCAAGATCAAGGAAGAGAAAGATAAACAGGACGGAAGCATCATCATCGTCCTTGCAACGGATGCTCCACTCCACCCAACACAGCTTCGGCGCCTAGCAAAACGTGCCACTGTCGGCCTCGCCCGTGTCGGAGGCTGGGCGTCGAATTCATCCGGCGATATATTCCTGGCTTTCTCGACTGCTAACCAGATGACAGTCCAAGAACACACGGCATCGACGCAAAATGTGGACCCTTGGAAGCCGAAGGCGAAGAGTGTGGATATGATTGATGACCAGACTATCAATGCGTTGTTCGAGGCGAGCGCGGATGCCGTAGAGGAGGCCATATTGAACGCGGTATTCAAGGCCGAGAGTATGGAGGGCAACGGAAACACGATCGATGCGCTGAACTTGGACAAAGTGAAGGAGTTGATGCAGAAGTACATGTAAATGTCACCCAGACTTACCTGTTAGGACGTCGGTGCTCACCGGCCCCATTTGAGGATCGCCTGAACTTGTGTGATGCATGTATATGTCGACCCTGATGGCGATATGCCGTCGTTGCTCCCTCATCCACTTTAGCGTCCCTGGTGCATGCGATGCATGTGGAGTCTGCTCGCCGATGACCACGATGGACACCGGTACTGTGTCATGTCGCTTTGCATTGACTGCTGGGAGGGCTACAATCTGAGGAGAGCGTAAACCACACTGCGATCGCTCCAGAGGAAAAGCGCCGATTCGTCGAGGAGATGTGTTCCTGAAGGTAGATCTTCGAATGTGCACTTATAACAGCACTACTCCACTATTCACTCTGAAACTACCTTCGGTACTGGCGAATTTAGAAGTTGACTGTGTGGAGCACGCTTCTCGTGCATTGGAAAGATTGGTAGCTGCTGCCTGTTTCATACAGCGGTGAGAGGCTCATGATCTTCGCTGTGGACAATTTCGGAGTACGCGGTGCATTGCACAGCACAGCCGTCATGTGCCTCCGAGCCGGATAGTAATTCAAATCAATTGCCACGAGGGCGGATGAGGCTGAGCATGATGTCTGCGCGAAGGCTGAGTCTCGGAAGAGTCGCCCTGCGCGCAGAGTGGAGATTTAGTGAATTGCAGCGCGAACAGCCTTGAGAACTGGCGTTTTTGAGAGGGAGGTGCGCGTGCATCTAGACCTCTGGACAAGGTTATGGCTGTGGAGAAGGTGAGGGGTCTAGACTCATGTGTCCGAGTGAGTAAGCGCATGCCGTTCTTGAAATGCGACTCAGTCCAAACTCGAGTGTTACACTGAACGACGGCCCGAATGATGTGCACAGGGAAGATTTCGATGGAACCTGCAGGAAGACATAATTAACCCTCAGCACCACCCAGGCGCTGGGCAGTGGAGTGCAAAGACCCAAGGGTCCAAGAAGGATGTGCAGATGGAATTCAAAAGCCACGCCACAATGCGATGTCCGGCAGCCTGGGACTAGCGCGTGGAACATCGAGATCCAAAAAACCCGACAGATTGGATGCATTGAGAGCAGACACACCAGGTCCAGACTATTTTTCATTTGCTCACGATCCTCGCCACGCATTCGATCTGGCTTCCGGTTTGGCAGATGACAAGTTTAGATTTCGCCCACGTTCTGCGCTGTTCAACCGGCTGAGGGCTCCAAGGGAGAGCCAATGGCGACTGGCAGCCTATGACTGGGCTCTCAACATAACCATGAATCAACGTCAACACAAATGCCTGATGGTGTTTGATGATGTATACACCAGGCTGGCGGACAGCAAGTAAACCGTACCTGATTGCTTCGGTTGATTGGGCCGAGACTGGTCTGAGCAGACGTACCACGTTTCTTCTGACAGCTGCCCTGTGCTTGCAAAAGTCTGGATCCAGCCACGTCGGCGCACCTGCGTACCAAATCCTCTGGTAGCGCAAGGCTGGCGAGCGCGAGACAATGAATCGCAGAGGTTTAGCAAGGCAGAGCCGAAACTGCGTGCGCAGCTGGCGTTGCAGCCCGCAGAATTTCGCAGACTCCGCACCGGCATTCAGCTTCCACTAGCGTGCTTTCAGCAGCTAGCGCGAAAGTGGCCTGATCCATTCGCGATGTCCAATGCCGCCGAAGCCACCAAGATCGAGAGAGAAGTCTCGGGTCCCGACTGCACATCATGCATGCTCCTTCAGCGCGCCGTCCACTAGGACCGTGGGTCGGAACATGCCAGGCTGAAGAGCACTTCGCATTCCTCATATATGCAATTCTGCCCTCCGCCCTCTCAAAGACGACACCCACGTCATTCTGCGATAATGGCGATCCCTTCCCATTCCACATCAACGATGCCAGGGTTGAGCGAGGTCCTTGAGCGTATTGGCCTTTCAACGTATCTTCCAGTACTATCCGAGAACGGATTTCGCAATTGGGAAACAGTTGTCGACATCACTGAGGACGACCTCACCGCACTGAATTTCAAGCTCGGCCATCGTCGAGCGCTGCAGCGAGAGATTGCTACTTGGCGTGGAGTACCACAAACACTGTCGCTGGACCCAGATGCCGCATCGCCCGAGCCTACTCCTATATCAACATCTGCGTTGGAAACATTAGCACGACAGCATTCCACACCGCCATCACGAGAGAAGAGGAGATACAGGCGTCACCCTCGAGCAGATTCCCACGCACCCAAGAAGCCAAAGACAGCCTGTATGCCTCGCAATCAAACCACAACTCATGCATAGTTAACAGTGTTAGACGTGAACTTTGCCGACCAGTTGCGTACTGACCCTCAGGTCAGCCAGTTATCCTTCGTACACATTGCCAGAGAGGTCGGCCGGAGATGGCAAGAGCTTCTGCCTGAGCAGAAGCGGGTCTGGGAGAGCAATGCTGCGCGCGCCATGCAGGAGTTTGAGTCTCAGATGGACGAGTACAAGAATACTAGTGAGTGGCGGAAGTACCAGACGTATCTGAACGACTTCAAGGCCCAGCAAGCGCAGGCAACCACCGGCAAGCGGCCTGCCATCGGCCGAGCGATGTCTCACAGTACCAGGGAGCAGTCACAGGCAAGCCCAGAGACGCAAACGCCAGAAAGTCCCGGATCGTCGATACCGTCGTCTGTGTCGTCATCTGGGACTGACGCTGAAGTGTGCCACAACGCCCTGACCCTTGCGTTCAGTGAGCTCATCTCCTTGCGAGGGGAGATCCTGACTCAAGCCATACGACCCTATGATGAGCACCATCTGCCGTCCGAGGAACTAGCGAGACGATCTATGTACGCATTCATCAGAGGTACGGGGTCGTTGGTGTTCATGTTGAGCTACAAGCAGGCAAATGAGATCCTCGACCGCATCTACAGACCCAAGGGTAACATCGATGCCATGGACCTGGCGGAATGCTTTACTATCGCTGCTATGGGTGCTCACTACGACATGGAATCCTTCCCCGACCGCATACGAAGAGTTCTTTATGCTTCTGGTACCCTTCATTTTCACGAGAGGACTGCGAGGACAGACTACATGCGCACCATGCGTCTGCTGCTGTTCATGTCTTTCTACGCACTTCTCGAGAAACACATGAGCGCGAGGTATCTGATCGGTAAGTACTGCGTTACGCATGCCTGCGCATCCTGCTTACAAGACCGCAGCTGCCGGCTTGCAGATTGCTCGTTGGAAATGCCCACCCATGTACCGTACACCCACGGGCGCCATGGATGATAACTGGCGTAAGATCTACAGGAGTCTCATCTTCATGGACAGTTGGCTTTCGTACACATTGGGCTACAGCTCAGATGCTACTCTGCAAGACATCCAAGTACGCATGCGCCCCAGCACTGACCATGACCTGTCTAACCAGAAACAGAATGTCTGCACTACTGGATCCCTGGCATCAGAAACGATTGACGAACTCATCCATGTTCAGACTAGCAAGATCGGCCTGGTCGCAGCCGAGATAGCGAAGACGTTGGCTGCACCCGAGCTAGCCACCCGCGAGAACGTGCACATGCTTACGCAGAAGTTGGAGATGTGGCGCAATGAGGTGCCGCTGATACTGCAGCTCCCTACACTCACCTCGGCAGGGCCATCTGAGCTATCGTTGTATCAGAGGCGGGCCATTCTCATGGTGCATGTGAGTACACATGGCAGATCTGACTTGGTCCGCGGGCTAACCATAATGCCAGATCATGTATCTAGGTGCTGTCATCCTCATCTACCGCCAGTTGCTGGTTGCCACTGCGGAGAGCCAGCTTACAGACGGCGCTGCGAACAGCCTCACCTACTCTAGCGAAGATGCACGAGTGTTCCGAAACGAATGCGCCATCGCTTCTCAGACCATCGCACGAATCCTACGGTTGATTGCCTTTGACGGCACGCTGACTAGGCGTTGCTGGCTGATTATGTAAGCTTTCGATTTCCACACTGTGCAGCCCGACGTGCTAACAGAGGTCCTCAGCTACTGGGCATTCACAGCCGCCGTTGTCCTGCTCCACAGTGCGTCGACAAAACTCCTCGATGGCCAGTCCGAGAGCGTCGAGAGCGACCTTGGGTTCGCCAGGGACTGTATGGACATGCTCGAGCCTTGCCGGGGTGTCGAACCCATTGCAGCCAAGTACCTCGACACTCTCTGGCCACTGTACGACTCCCTGCGCGACGTGCACCAGCGCATGGTTGGTCGCGCAAAGACGAGCATCTTCTCTCTCCTACAGGCCGACCCTAACCGGATGAGTCCTCCCCTCGCTGTTTCGAAACACGAAATGGGCCCAATCTCCGAGAAGCTCTCAACATTGCTCACCGATCCTTTTGGTCGCAAGCAGAACTTTACTGCTGATGGGAGTATGCGGCGCCTGCTGAATGCCGACGGTTCTTGTTCTGTGTTCTGGTGGAGATGAACTTGGAGGGTTTGTCAGTGAATCGCGTTTCCAACACCCAATGATACACGACGGCGCTCTTGCAACCGCAGATGAACCGCCTACGCGGACTTGCATCACCACCTGTGCAGCGGATGGTGACTCGTGGGAGTGAGAACATCGCCCGCGGTGTTGCTAACCCTAGCAGTTTCTTATCGACCGGCCGATAGTCCGACACACGCCATACAAGTTGACGCTTGTTAGTGCTGTGGTTAGTCGGTACCTGACTAGTGCTGAGGCTGGCCAGCGGCATTCTAGACACAGCTGAGCGCGACACACTGGGAAGGATACGAGCGTATGTGTCAATGAAAAAGTGACGAAGATCTGGAGGCCGCAGAGAGATGGATCTAGCAAATGTATGTCGGTCACAGCGGGTGGAGAGTTGCAGAAATAAAGCCACCTCGTATGTTGCAGATCACGGGCGCTCCCGTAGCGCACTCCCAGAGCGCTATTCTTGCTCGAGCTGGACTGTTGCTGTGCTTTCGATAAAGGCTGCCGACGGTCGACACTACGAACATGTGCTGCTCGATTCACCGGGCCTCTCTCCTTCGCTAGGTAGAGCCCGCTCCGTTCGCAGGTCACAGGCCAGTCGGAGCAACTTGTCCAACGACGAGATCTTTGATGCCATGTCGGCCTCGCCAACTGCACTCGACAGCCTCGGACATGTGGTGTGCGGATGAGCGTGCAGATAGCCGCAGATGCAGTACCGCACTACCAAAACAGCACATGGCGTCATACCCATATTCGGGCGCGCCCGAGCGCACGGCAATGAACCTAATCGCCATCACAACGAACTACCGTTATCGAACCGTGTTTCAGCTCCTGGGCAGACATGGCAATCGGACCAGCAACAACGTTCCCGGCAGAGACTGTGTTTAGAAGATCGCCAGCGTGCGTGTAGATCGATGCGGCTGCGTGGTTTTCCTGGTGCTGTCTATCTGGAGCGATAGCCCCGCACAACGCACATCGCAGACCCTCTGCAAGCGCAACGCCTGCACCGACAACACACAGCCGCATACTCGCTCGCGGTCGCGCGGCACAGCACGTTGGTGGTAGCGTGGAACGCATGATGCGCGCTGTGGCGCATCTGCGCGTGGTCGGAGAGTTTGGCGTGGTGCGGTGTGTCTCTTTTGGGAAAGGGGGAGAAGGGTCTCGATTCAGCACGCTTCCTCGCGGTGTGGGCGAGAGTGGGCCCCCTACCCGGCCCCAAGGAAAGCAGCGTCATTTCGTTGAAATAAGGAAAGGGTTCCCTCCAACTGCTGCTCGTTGACGTGTCTGCGCTTCCTTACTTTCTTGCCATTGTTCGTTTCGACTGTTGAACGCGTGTTGCCTGGACTGAGCAACCGACACGAGAACCCGGAGCTTACCTATCGATGCGCACGCAGGGACACCAGCCAATCACAGAACACCATGTTGGGCCAGGAGAGTGAGGAGCTTATCGGTAGTCCGTTTGTGATCCCACAGGAGGATGTCGAAGTGCTCAATACCTCGGAGGGCTTTTGCATGCTGAGAAACTACCTCGCGCGAGACACCAGGTATGTGCCGTGCTGCTCAAGTTGGTGCATCGGCTGAGCGTCTGCTAACCCCTCACCAGCTTCTGCACGCAACACGACGAGTGCGATGGGCAGACCAAAGAAGCATGGATCCTGCAGCGCGACTTGTTGCACGCGCTGGTGATGCCGGTGCTGGAGCTGTTTAACCGAGCTTCGGCACTCGCTGAGGCGGCGCTGTGTACCCGCAAAAGCGAAGATCTGGAGTTAGCGTTCGCGGGGGAAGCACGTGGAGCGTTCCTGTGTCTGCAGTGCTTCGTCGACGAAGAGGAGGATTGGTGCAGGACACGCGGTTGTCCAGGTACGTCTGCCATGTTCTCTGCCGTCTGCCGCATTCTCTGCCGTCTGCCGCATTCTCTGCCGTCTGCCACATTCTCTGCCGGCTGCCACATTCTCTGCCGTCTGCCACGTTCCCTGCCGTCTGCCGCGTTCTCTGCCGTCTGCCACGTTCTCTGCCGTCTGCCAGTACTAACGACGCACAGCTTGCATCACATCTGCGACGCTAAGCACAGAGTCGCACCTCCGCCTGACAATCGCCGCATCGCTCCTGTCCACGTGTTCAGTCGCAACACCAGCTCCGCCGCCAGAGCCATTGACGTCTCGTGCGCTCCCTCCTCTGCCGCACATCCTCCCCGCGCTCCGCGAAGCCCTCGCGTCAGATCCCTTCTGGGGCCCGGACCACTGGCCGTACCTGCTCTCGCGCGCGACGCAACTCTCGACGGGCATCCAAGCGCTGATTAGCGAGTGCGTGAACCTCGAGTCCCTCGTGGCGTCCCCGGTGGCGGAGCGCACTGCGTTCATCGGCAGCTTCAGCGCATCGGGACTGCAGTACATGGGCGCGCAGACCGGGGAGAAGGGCGTCAAGCTCCGCAAGAGCAAGCTCGCGAAGAGGCAGCTGAGGCTCGAGAGGGAGGAGATTGAGCTCATGAGGCGCGTGGCGATGCAGTGCTGGGCCAAGGCGAAGCTGCCCAAGGGGGTGAGGGGCGAGATGCTGGGCCAGAGCGGGGGGGGGAGCCGGAGGAGGAGGAGTCTGACATGTCCGTAGATACTGACATGTCCGTAGATGCTGATAGCGGGCTTGGCTTGGCCTGCATGTAGGAAGCCGGATGAGGAGAGTCTGACATGTTTGTAGATATTGATCACGGGCTTGGCTTGCATTTGGGATGGCGTTCAGGATGGGCTGCATAGATACCACGGCATTTCAGTGTTATTGTAATACCGACTCGCTTCATCTCGCCTTCTCAGCGAGCTCCATGAGATTTGCTGCACGAGATTTGCTGCACGAGGTTCGCTGCACGAGAATGGCTGCACGAGAATGAGTGCACGAGAATGGTTGGAGAATGGTTGCACGAGATTCGCTGCACGAGAATGGTTGCACGAGATTCGCTGCACAAGATTCGCTGCACGAGATTCGCTGCACGAGATTCGCTCCATGAGATTCGAACCCAGCCATGTCTGTTGGGGCAAAGGATTCGTCATGTCTTATTCTGGCATGGCCGCGGGTGGACCGCGGAGCTGAGGGTTTCATCGTACGATGCGATGGGCCTAAGCAGATCGGGGATCCCGGCCCAGCAAGCGAGCAGCTTCAAGCCCATGTCCTGGTAACAGACCAGGCGTGAATCAACACAGACGCACTGGGTGTCGAGGGTGACGAGACACTGGACATGGCATGCGGCGTCGTGTGCGGCTCATGCAGGTGCGCAGCTCGAAGGGTGCACGTCCGCAGCCTTGTCAGGATCAATCGGGTGTTCGCAGGGATGCGGGAGGAGTTACAAACCGGCGTGGTGCTGATCTGCAAGGTACAGGACTAATCATGCTCGATGATGCAGCAAATGGGGATGGCGGATTCGCGGGGCGGCGGCGGCGAGGCTGGGTAGCGCAATGCACCAGCCACCACGGCGCGAGACTTGATAGATACAAAGGTGCTAGCATCTGGTAAACAAACGCGAGCCTCGAGTGCAGCAGCGCTGTGGGCGACACTTTCACTCGCATCCACGCTCCACTCCACGCTCCACGCTCCATTCCACGCTCCACGCTCCACTCCACGCTCCACGCTCCACTCCACGCTCCGCGCTTTATACTCCACGCTCCACGCTCCACGCCCGGCTGCGGCCCACTGCCAGTCATTCTTTTCCTTGTTCCTCGCCTCGCCTTCACGACAGCATCTCGGCCACGACTCGCAGCCATCGCATGCACGGCGCCCACCACGGCCGACACGACGACAACCACGACAACCACGACGACGACAACCACGACGACAACCACGACGACAACCACGACGACGACGACGACGACGACAAGCCCTCTCGCCCACTCGCTCATCCATAGCCCGCGCCTCGGATGGCTACCAAACTCAACATGGCGGCCTTTGGCGGCGCGCACACGGCGGGCATCTTCTCCGACATGACGGTCGACGGGCCCGTCATCGGCACGCTGGTGGCCATCATCGACCGCGCGCGCAACCTGCCCAACAAGCGCACCATGGGCAAGCAGGACCCGTACTGCGCTGCCCGCCTGGGCAAGGAGGCCAAGAAGACGGCGACGGACAAGCGCGGCGGGCAGACGCCAAAGTGGTGAGCATGCTACACAGACGTGTCGGCGCTTGGGCAACACACTGACAGCCCAGGGACCAGGAGCTGCGCTTCACCGTCCACGACTCGCCCGACTACCACCGCATCAAGGTCTCCGTCTTCAACGACGACCGCAAGACGGAGCTGATCGGCGACACCTTCATCGGCCTCGCCGCCGTCATCAGCCCCGGCGGCGGCCAGTCGGACGGCTGGCACACGCTCGACTGCAAGGGCAAGTATGCGGGCGAGATCCGCATCGAGTTCACCTACTACGACACGCGGCCCAAGGCCGAGAAGCCCGCCGAGAAGAAGCGCGACACACAGCAGCCCGACGTCCAGAGCCCAGCAGCGGGCGGGCCGCGAGGCGCCCGGGGAGCCCGCGAGAGCACCGCGGTCAAGCGCAGACCGCTGCCCTCGGACCCGACCGCCGCCACGCCGTCGCCCACCAGCGGGCCCGAGCACCGCGGCCTGCAGGGCGTGCGAGCAGGGCCGCGCGAGCTGGGCTCTCCCCGCCACGCCGAGCAGCCTGCACCGCCGCAGCCCAGCCGGCGACCTGTGCCCGACGCCGCGCCGTCGCCGCGCACGTCGAACCCCAGCCTGGCGCAGCCCGGCGAGGAGTGGGACATGTCGTACGCCGCGCCGAAGCCCTACGAGGCGAAGCCCGTCGACGCCCTGTCGCGCCACCTCGCAGACTCGCGGGCCGCGTCGCAGGACGACTTTCGCTCGCAGAGAGGCCACGTCCACCCGTCGCCCGCAGACGCCTTGCGCCCGCAGAGAGGCCACGTCCACCCGCCGCCTGCAGACGCCGTCCACGCGCACTCGGCGCCAGCGGTGCCCACGCAGCACAGCTACGAGCTCGAGCAGCGCTACTCGTCCGCCCACTCGCCCTCGCATCCCCAGGATCCCTACGACGATGCCGCCCACCACGTCGCCCCGCTGCGCTCGAGCAGAAGCAACCTGCGCGGCCAGGAACACGCCTCGTCTGGCGACCACTTGCAGTCTGGCGGCCACTTGCAGTCTGGCGGCCACTTGCAGTCCGGCGGCCACTTGCAGCCCGTCGACCGCTTGCAGCCCGTCGACCACTTCCAGTCCGTCGACCGCTTCCAGCCCGTCGACCGCTTGCAGCCCGGCAGCTACATCGAGGCCCCGTACGACGACAGCCACGCGCACCGGCGACAGAGCGCCATGCAGCCCACCGTCGAGGACGAGGACTTTGACCTGCCGCCGCCGCCGCCAGCGCACAGAAAGGACGCCGCCACGCTGCCGCCCAAGCACGCCTACAGCCCGGCCAACCCGTACGCCAGCGACTCGCCCGCGCCGCTCAGCTTTGCCCGCCACCACGAGCAGGAGCCGGGCTACGACCTGCAGCGCCAGCCATACGCCGACTACGAGTACCGCCGGCCCGCAGAGCGCCGCTACACGCACCCCCGCGCTGCCGTCCAGACCGACAGCCGGCCCGTGTCGCGCGACACAATGGCGCCGTCGCCGCTGAGACAGGAGGCGTCGCTCCCGGCGGCTCTCGTCGCGGGCTTCGACGCCTCTCGGGGCCAGCGCGATGCTTACCAGGCGCCTCCCGCGTACGAGACGCCGCCGCGCCTGCGACAGTACTCGGAGCCGGCCGAATACCGCGCGCCGGCCGAATACCGCGCGCCGCCCGACTACGCCGCGCCCGACTACACCGCGCCCGGGTACACGGCGTCCGAGTACACCACGCCCGTCCAGCCCCACGAGCTGGTCCACTACCAGTCCCAGCCGCCGCCCGACTCGTACTACGACCACGATCCGCCCGAGGAGCCGCGCCGGAGGTCCCCCGTCAACGAATACGCCCCTGTGTACAGACCGCGTGCCCACAGCCCCAACCCGAGCCCACGCCACTCTCCCCGCCCCGTCGACGACCGCGCGCCACGCATGCCGGCGCGGAGCATGCCGACGCGCAAATCCGTCTCGCCGCGCCCGCCACCGCCCCGCGAGGACCCCGGCCAGCGCCGCCTCTCGGGCGTCCCCTTTGGGCCGGACGACTTCAACGTGCTGAACCCCTCGCTCACGCCCGCCGACGAGCCCGAGCGGCCCGGCAGCAGCATGGAGTACAACGACAAGGGCCAGATTGTCACGTTCAGCGGCCGCGTCGTCGACGCCTCGGACCACCTGCCCGTCGACAACTGGGCGCCCGAGCCCGAGCCCAAGGGCACCGTCCGCGACAAGGCGCCGCGCATCCGCGCCCAGCTCAACGGCAGCCGCGGGCTGCTCGACGCCGCCGCGAGGGAGGACAAGTACCGCCGCGACCGCGCGGAGCGGGACCGCATCCGCAGCGCCGCCGACGTGACGTTTGGCGCCGCCGACGCGCCCTCGCAGGCCCTCGTCACCACGCGCCGGCCGGACATGGACACTGGCAGCAGCGCCCTCGTGCTGGCCGACCGCGACGCATACGACCGCCGCCCCGCGAGCAGGGGGTACGACGCGCGCCCCGCGAGCAGGGGCTACGAGCCTAGCAGCCGCTCGCGCGAGGCCCTGCGCGAGCGCCACTCGCCCAATTCCTTTGCCGCTGCCGCCGCCGGCCGTGGTGCGGGACATGCCCGGGCGGCGCCGCCTGTGCCGGCCAAGATCCCGCTGGATCGCGGCGTGCAGAACGAGGATGCGGCGCTGAGTCTGGAGCTGCAGAGCATTGACATTGGCCCGAGTGGCGGCCGGAGACCGCGGACGAGGGGGAGGGAGTATGGGGCATATGTGTGATGTGAAGATGGTGATGGTGGTGATGGTGGTGATGGTGATGAAGATGATGAGGAAGATGATGATGAAGACGATGAAGATGGTGAAGAAGAAGATGATGATGAAGAAGAAGATGTAGAAGAAGACGATGAAGACGAAGAAGACGATGAAGAAGACGATGAAGATGCATGGGTCACGGAGGGCATATGATACGATACGGTTAGACATGATTCGATTCAGGCGTTATGGTCGTAGATTCTGGTGCTTTCTGCACGGCACAGGGGGGGTCGTCTAGGGACGGGGCTGCTCATAGGATAGGGGATAGATGACTAGGGACGGACTGGGTTTACCGAAGGAAAGAAAAGGGAACGAGATAGATAGCTGGATACCCGCAGCGCGTCTGCAATGCACACACACACACACAAGACACTTTACTTGTTCTCACCCCGTCTCCACTTGTTCCCATCCCGTCTTCACTTGTTCCCGTCTCCACTTGTTCCCGTCTCCACTTGTTCCCACCCCGTCTTCACTTGTTCCCACGCCGTCTTCGCTTGCTCTCCCCCCACCACCCGTCACCCCTCAGACAATACCAAACTCAGCGCTCCCCTCAAACGCGGTAATCCTCCCGCCAACCGCCTTCGCGTCGCCAAAGTACCTAACCCGATACCTGCCCGCCGAGGGGCGCGAAAACGCAGTGTCCCACGAGACGCTGACGTCGCTGGTGCCCGTCAGGCCATTGACGCGGCGCCACTCGAACAGCAGCTCCCAGTCGGCGTCGTTCTTGAACTGGACCCATCCACCGTCAACAAAGCGCTCGATGCTCGCATACGTGCCCTCCAGCCGCAGATTGTTGCGCGGATTCGCGCCGACAAAGACCACCCTCACCACCGCGCCCGACGCGTACGAAGCCGCGGGGGCAGTCTTGACGGCGCCAAAGGACTGCCCCAATCCCGCGCCGTCGTAGACGACGCCGGTGATGAGGCTGATGCTGCGGGCTCTGTTGTCTGGGGGCGAGGGGCCGGGGGGCGGGGCGCCCGCGGCGTCGGCGAGGAAGGGCAGGTATGTCAGCGTTGCGTTGATGAAGGCGGCGAGCGTGTGCTGGCCGTACAGGGTGCTTGCGCCCTCGTAGCGCTGGACGGCGTATTCTTCCGCCGTGGCGATGTAGTGCGCGTACGTGTTTGCCGGGCCGCCGAGGACGACGAGGGGATCGACCGTCGAGGGCACGAGCGAGGACTTGGCGGCATTGTAGACGGCTTCGCGCCAGCGGCGCCCGGACATGGTGGTTGCCTCGCCCGGGGACGTGATGATGATGAGCTGGCCGATGCGCAGGGCCTGCATGTCGACAATGTTGGGCGACCAGGGGTAGGGCGTGTTGGCCTGGCCGACGTTGAGCAGCACGGGCTTGGGGTCGTGGCACGCGCGCTGCGCGGCCGAGGGGGGCGCAATGGCGCTGCCGACTACGTTCCAGAACGGGTTGCTCGGGGCGCCCGGGTCGTTTTGCACAAAGTCGAGCGCGCCCGGGCCGTCGGTGGTGCCGGCCGCGAAGCTGTTGCCCAGCGCCGCGGGGCAGGTGGTGGCCAGCGACCCGTTGGCGAGGACGACGGTGTAGTTGGACATGTCGACAAAGGTGTGGAAGGCGCGCACGCTGCCGGCGATTGGGGTCAGGGCTGCGCTGGAGAAGATGGCGAGGGCGCCGTCTGCCTGGCGCTTCCCAATCTCGTAGCACGACTTTGCGCCGCCGTCGTTCAGGCCGAACAAGGGGCCGCGGCCGTGGCAGTCCTGGCTCTTGCCGTTGGCGCAGGTCGAGTCGTTCAGCCTGCACTGCTGGCCGGTGCCGTCCTCGCAGTAGGCGCCGAGCACGTTGGGCGACGTGTCGCCGACGTTGGCCTGGGAGAAGCCCGCGACGAAGCCCTCTGCGATGCTCTCGCCGCCAGCCACGGCCTCCTCGAAGAGATAGGCGGCCACGCCCTTGTTGTCGCCCGTGATCAGCGTCTGGTTGCCCAGCATGCTCGTGCCGTGCACGGCGAACCAGTTGAGGATGCCCATGGCCTTGCCGTCGCTGGAGCGGGTGAACTTGAGCAGGGTCATGGTCTTGTCCACGTCGTCCGTGTAGCGCGCCCGCTCTGCCGCTGGGTTGGCCAGATACGCAAACAGGCTGCGGTTGATGTTGGCGCCCGCGACGCGCCCGCTGCCTGCGCTGATGGTCCCCAGGGCCAGCCCTTGGTGGGCGCGCTGGATGGACAGCACTGCGCCGTCGACAATGGCCTGGTAGCTCTGCTTGTCGAACCCCAGGCTGGTGATTTGCGGCAGCAGGTAGTTGAGCCAGGCGCCCGGGCCGGAGTGGCTGTGCGTGCCGGTCACGGCGACGTTGTTCTTGCTGTAGACGGCGTACTCGGGCCCCAGTGCCTGCAGGCCCTCGAGGATGCCGTTGCGGATGGCCGTGTCGCCCGACTGCGTGTCCAGGACCATGTACACGACGCGCTCGCTGGCGCTGCTCGGGCTGCCGACGATGAAGGCGCGCGAGTAGAGGCGCTGGCGCAGGCCGGTCCCGACCTGCGACGTGTTGGCGTAGCCCATGAGGTTGAGCTCGACGACGGGCCTGTATCGTCAACACCATGGCGCGTCGACACGACGACGACGACGACGACGACGACGACGACGACAACTCGCAGCGACAAAGACTCACCCAGTAATGTCCGCCTTGCCCACGCCGATCAGGTACTGCGACGGGTCCAGCGCCTGCCCGCCGTCCTGCTTGGTGCTGTAGAAGAGGTCCTGCGGGACGCCATAGGTCTGGTCCAGGCGCCAGTGCCAGAACTCGTTGTTGGGCAGTCCCAGGTTGACGACGAGCTGGCCGACAATCAGGACCGCAGCGAGCGCCGCGCCACAGGCGACAGCAATGTGCGAGCGCGCCATTATTCTCGTGGACCGGTATGGATTCTGTCGAGGCGGAAGCGTGCGGCTGTCCAGGTGCAGTGGCGCACCATGTAGCGGCGAGCGGCCTATATACGTCACTTCACGTGCCAGCCAGAGCGCCACCGCCGTCTCTGCTGCGCGCCGAGTGAACGGGCAGCACGGGCATCACGGGCAATGTTGGTGTGATGGCACGCTGCGGGGTGCTGCTGTGGTGTGATAGCAAGCTGCGGGGTGCTCGGGGGTGGGCAGCGTTCCTGGCCCGCCTGCCGTTGAGCAGCCAGGATTGAGATTGCGCTAGCGCCGGCATAGATACGAAGTACATGTATCGAGGCAATTCAATACGATCCGCCGTCCACTCCCACCCACCACCATGCCGCTGACAAACGAATCCTACGACTCTCTCCCGTGTACGTCCCCAGCACCTGCCTCGCGCGAGCCTCGCGGCCCCGCCAATAATCTGCGCCCCGGCTAATTCGCTGCAGACGTCGACACCCACGTCGACGACGCTGGGCTCGCGGCGGCACGCGCAGCCATACTCGCGGACCTCAGCACCGCGGGCGTCAACACGGCGGACCTGCACCCCGCCCTCGCCCCGGCCGCACAGTACACGCCGCGCTTCTCCGACCTCGTCGAGCGCGAACACGCCCGCCTGGACGCGAACCCGGCCTCGAGGCTGTCGGGCATCGACGTGAAGCGCTACGAGGACCTCGACGCGCCAGAGAGCACGGGTGCCGTCGCCGACGAGGACCGGCCGGCGGCGGTGCAGCAGTGGAACCGCGCGCTGACCCAGGCGCACACGAGCGCCGAGTACGTCCAGGGCCGCCTGACGCAGCTGGGGCTGCTGGAGAAGTTTGGCAAGAACGCCTGGCTGGTCGGCAACGCCCAGCTCGAGGACCTGCTGCGGGGCCTCGAGGCCGACCTGGTCGACGTGCGTGGGCAGCACGACGACGTGGCCACGCTGCGGCGCACACAGCAGGAGGCCGTGCTCGGCGAGATCAAGACGCTCGAGCACACGTGGAAGCAGGGCCTGGGGAGAGTGCTGGAGACCGAGGTGGCCGCCGAGGCCCTGAAGCAGCAGATTCTCGACCGCCGACGCGCCGGGGCTGTGTAGCCGGGGCTGTGTTGGTCTCTGACGTGCGAGGAGTTGGAACAATGATACCCATTTCGTTTCTGCGAGGGCGTGCGAGTGAGGACTGCATTGTTGACTGAGGAGTGAGGACTGCATTGTTCACTGAGTGAGGACTGCATTATTCACTGAGTGAGGACTGCATATCCACCGAGTAGGAACTGCACATCCACCGAGTAGGAACTGCATATCCACTGAGGAGCAAAAACTGCATTATTCACTAGCAACTGAACTGCGGCGCCGAAGCGACCACCAAGCAGGTCGTACATGTACACGTACAAATACAAAAGACCGCCCACACCCAGCTCCAAACGCCGTCCAATGAAGAACACCCACCCAATGAAGAACGCCCACCCAATGAAGAACGCCCACCCAATGTATCCCAAACACGACTTCCAAGCACTTGTGCCATGCAACTATGCTTAGGAATTTCCAAGCAATCCCTTTCATCTTCCGTCGCTGCTCCTCTTCTTGTCCTCTCGTTGCCTACACCGTGCAATCATGTCTTCTTCAAGAAGCCCCCAAGCAACCCCTTCAACCCCCCCTC